AAGTAGGGCTTTGACTCACTACTGATATAATCCACTGATTGAGTACATCATTTTGTTAAAAGCAGTCTTGCTCTGCATAGTTCCCATTTTCTTTAGTCTAGCAGTCTTGAAGACTGACTATATTTTTTTCTAGAGTGATTGTCTTCTTTGTCTCAACATAGGACTAGTTCAATAACTGAAATCTGTGTGAGTTAAAGATCTGTTGTTTGCACCCCACAACTGTAAATTGTTTTAGGTTGGATCCTTTCTACTCAAGAAACAGTGATCTAGAGAAAAAAAAAATAAAAAAAACCAAACAAACAGAAAAAAAACCACCACCCCCCCCAAAAAACAATAGTCAAAATAAAAATACTGAAAAAACATAACCTATAGCTCTGTACTGGCCTACACATTCAAACATCTTAGTGGATGCTTGGATGCTTGCAGTGTGATACTGAAAAGGACGTGAAGCTCAAAAATACCTGATTTTCCACAAACAGGGGCCCTTATTGAACTCCATCTTCAAGAGAACCCAAGCTGCTAACATTTTAGTATCACACCTGGGTGACCATGCACATGCCTTTGCAGAGGGACAAAAGCAGGGGAATGTAATCAGCATGAATATATGAAAGAAAGAAAATGAGATCCTCATAATATTTTGCTTTGTGTGCTACGCTATACTTTCAGACCCAGGTCTAAGTGTCAGAGCAAGAAGGTGATACAAATTTGGAGCTGTGTATTTGGTGCTCAGAGGAGACACGTGGTCTACAAAATGAAGGGGGTGGCACAACTGGTTCTCCTCCAAGCTTATGCACTGATGGCTGATCCACTCACTGACTTCTCCAAATGGCCAAGGGAAGAGAAACTTCTCTTTGCAGCCTTACATTAACACACCATTGGAAAGAACACCCTGAAGATTGCAAATCAGCCTAATATTGTGTAAGGAATGAGCTGAAAAGTCAAAACATGGCTGCTTTAATAGAGTGACCATGCAAGAGCAGTGAGTAACAAGATCCTCCTGTTCCCCAAGGGAAACAAATCTGCACAAAGCCAACTGCTCGACTTCAGTAACATCCTGCAAGAGCCACGCAGCATGCACAACCATAAACAAATGTGAGACAAGAAATATGGAATTGTCATAGATTACAGGACTTGTAAACCTTGGAAACCAAGTTTCCACTGCTTGTGAATGTCCTCCTGTGCCAATGCTATTTCTGTTTTACTAGGGTCCATATATATCACATAAGCTGGTGGCAAACACGCAGATCTTTTGTCATTGTAGAGAGAGTAAAAGGGTGTTCTTTAACCTGACTTAGGTAACTCATGCGAAAATTAAGAGAAAACTAGGGAATTTGTAGCTATATTATGTGGTATCACAAGAAGTTGCAGGCAGGGGAGTCCTTAGGTTTGCTGCTGCTGCCAGTGAATCCCCCACTGACTTGAGCAGAGCAGCAGCAGCCACTGCTCTGTAGAGTTGCTTCACCCTATTGGGACTAACCACACATGTAAATCAAACATGAAAAGAGCTGCCAGTGGGCAAGGTCTCAGTATGTGTTTGGAGTACAGAAATAGGGGAAAGAGACATGTTCTGCATTTCATGCTGTATCTGTGAACATAATGCTTGAAAATATGCATCCATTGAGAAATGAGCACTTATACCAGCAGAAAACACAAATTTTGGCTTCCGCATTCAGGCTTCCTGTATAATGTGTATTTCCCACAGGAACGTTAGCTTTTGGCCCCCATGTAACATGTATCATATATTATATTCCATACTTATTTGCTGCAGAACTGCACAAATATCACACTTAGAAGACTGTAGCTTAATCACCTGAAAACAGTCTTTATGAAGTGATGGACAAACCATTGCTATTCCTTGTTTTTCAAACAAGCAATGCTGAAATGTCCAGGACAGATACTGCATTTTCACTTCCAGATGTTTTCTACATTGGGTGGTAATACTCAGCAGTAGGGGGTAGGTTCAGAGTTATTTTATATGAAGGCATGAAGTACAAGAAGCCACAGAGAAATACACAAGCCATTTAATTTAAAAGGCAATGAGATGTGATGGCCAGACATTGCAAGAGTAGCTCTTAAAAAATTTCTACAATCATTGAAAGAAAAGTTTTCCTGTTCTGAAGAACAGAATGTTGTCATTTGATGACAAGAAATTAATTAGAAAACATTTAGAAAAGACTGAACTGATTTTATACTCTAAGAATTGGTGATACTTTGGATTCTGAACCACAGAATTGATAAAAAAAGCCCACAAACTTTATTCACTGCTTTTATTTTTGATTATGGCTGAGAACACCAAAACTAAATGCCTCCCTCATTCTTTCCTTAAAAACCAGCAAACCTATTCTGAAGCAGACACTTCCACATGCACCAAGTGGAAGTTAAAACTTCTGCTTGCAGACCGTTAAAACTAGTAGGCAAAATTTCTTTTGGGGGCTGGGGTGATATTTATTAAACTTTATCTGCTGCAGATGTAATCACAACTATTTCATCTCAGGAATTCTGAAGAAAGTTTTCACACAAGAAGGACCTCCCAGACAAACACTGCTGCCGCAACACTGCAGTGCTCCCACACCTCAAGTTTTTCTAGTGTCCTTCACAAGTATGTCTCAAGTACTATCTTTATTCATAGACAGGATTTCATTTTCAACACAAAGAGTAATTTAAAATCCCCTCTCAAGAGAGAAAGGAATTATAATGTTGACACTGACATACTTTTATAAAGATCCATGTTTGCTTGTGTTGTCTTTAAAACATCAAGTTCTAAAATCTTGCCATTATGTATGAATTGGAGCTTATCCTTTAAATAGATATAAAATCAGTGTGAGTTTAGGGATTTTTTTTTTTGGGGGGGGGGGGAGGCACAAAAAAAAGCATTGAAGTTGTGAATTTCAAAAGTTTAAAGAAATAATAAAAATCCAAACAAGAAATCCAGAAATATAGAATAGTTACAGTATATTAAAATTTCAGCATTTTAGGTGTGAGACAAGCCTTTTTTAATACTGGGGTTTAACGACACTGATCTCTAGTGAGCTATTTCTCCATTTCCAATGCTTACATGAAAGAATTTAGGTAAGTGCATCAGCAGCTTCATTGAATTCAATGGCAGGACCTGGGAACCCATGTGAATAAGGTGATTTTTCATGAGCATTTGTAAACCTGGATCAAATCTGGCTTTAGTGCAGGAAAGATGCATATCATTTTACATATCACAGTTTTCATTGTTTCAGTTCAGACAACTCAGCACAATCCTTAATTGCTCTTTTTGAGAATTACAGCAACAAGTGTAGGAGGCATGTGCAGATAGGTGGGACACTGTAGTGCTATACTGTAAGCCTATATAGTGTTGCCTATATATGTCACTAGCTTGAATGCAGCAGAAAGGAATTTCTGAAGCCAGTAGGATCCATTTTGTGATTTTGGGATGGAACAGAATGGAATAGAATGGAGCAGAACAGAGCAGTTAAAACGTACCTACAATGATTACCTAGTCCAACTGCCTGACCACTCCAGGACTGACCAAAAATTAAAGCGAATTATGAAGGCGATTGTACAAATGCCTATTTTTGAGGCACTGACAGGTCTGGGGCATTGAACACCTCTCTAAGAAGCCTGTTTCAGTGTTTGACCACCCTCTCAGTAAAGTGCAGCTTTGAGCCATTCTCACTTATCTTGTCACTGGATCCCAGGCAGAAGAGATCAGCAGTTCCCTCTCCATGTTGCCTCCTCAGGAAGCTGCGGAGAGCCATGAGGTTGCCCCTCAGCCTCCTTCTCTCCAGCCTAGACAAGCTCAGAGCCCTCAGCCGTTCCTCACAGGACACAGTTCCAGCTCTGTCACCAGCTTTGCTGCTCCCCTCTGGATGCAGTCAGGGACCTTCACATCGTTCTTAAACTGTGGGGACCAGCACTGCACAGAGTGCTCAAGGTGAGGCTGCACCAACACTGAGTGCAGCAGTTAATCACCTCCTTTGAGCGGCTGGTGATGCTGTGTCCAATGCACCCCAGGACGCGGTTTGCCCTCCTGGCTGCCAAGGCACACTGCTGGCTCCCACCAAGCCTGCTGTCAGTTAGCACCGCCAGGTCCCTTTCTGCAGGGCTGCTCTCCAGACACTCCACTCCCGATTTATACTTGCACCCAGTGTTACTTCTACTTCAGGTGCAGAATCCAGCATTTGAAATTGTTGAATTTCAACATGAATCACTGCCCAGTGCTCCAATCTACCTAGATCACTCTGCAAGGTCTCTTGTCTCTCAAGAGAGTCAACAGCACCTCCCAGTTTGATGCTGTCAACAGGCTTCCTAATGCTGCATTCAACTACTACATCCAGATCACTAATAAACCTGTTGAACAGAACTGGCCCTAGAACTAAGCCCTGAGGAACTCCACTGGCGATTGGTCACCAGCCAGATGTAGCCCTATTCACTACAATGCTTTGAGCTCTGCCCTTTAGCCTGTTCTTCACCCAGCATATTGTGTACTTGCTTATCCCGCAGTTGCACAGCTTGTCCAAGAACATACTGCAAGGGACAGTATCAAAAGCCTTACTAAAATCAAGAAAAACTGCATCCACCACCTTCCCTTCACCCACTAAATGAGTGACCTTATCACAGAAGGACTTCAAACTAGTTAAACATGACTTTCCCTTTGTGAACCCATGCTGATTGTGCCTGATAGTGTTGTCCTTGAAACGCCTTTCAAGTAGCGTCAAGTATAATCTTCATAGGTACCTAGAGTCAAAAGATATGCTTTCTGCATTCATCTAGGAATGTAGAATTGTGTCATATCTTTTGCCCATGCTCCTGACTCCTCCAGCTCGTATCAGATATTGCAGAGGATGAAGTCATTCACAGGCAATGAACAGACACACATTTTTTGTAGCTGCAGACTTCCAAAGGTCCAGTGTGTACTTAACATCCTGAAAGCTTCCTTTTTTAATTCTTGTAAATTTCCTTCACTTTTCAGAACAAACCAAAGACACAAAACACACACCGAAAGCATCAAATACACTGTGAACAGGTTTACAAGTAGAGCAAATTATTGTTTTATTCATGAGCATCAAACAATCGTAAATATTTGCGGCCTCCATGCTTGTGTGAAAATAGTAGCATAAATTTCTTAATACCTATGTAAGGCTGATAGAAGTAACTGGAACAGCTTTAGCAAATTTTAAAGTCTTTGAAGAAGGACAGGATTTAATTTGCTTAATAGAGTCATTGGACCAAGTAATCACTTATCAGTTAACAGGTGATTTGGATGGAGTTATGGTTCAAGCTGATCAATTCCTTCTACATTCACATGCAGAGACACAGCAAAACACGTTGTGCTGGGGTTTTGCAGCGCACATCCTCCAGAAAAATGACTGTTAAGGGTTTGGGTTCCTCCACATCTTCTTCAGATAATTAGTAAATGAGTGCAAGACTGTTTCTTGAAATCTGTTGCTGTGGAATACCCATAAAGGGACAAACTGCAGGACACGTGCCTTCCGAATAATCAAGCAAAAACAATACAAAGACAAAAGGTTATCAAAATCTCATGAAAGAAATCAACAGAGTGTTCAGGAAGGCAAGAGAAAAGCAAAGGCTTTGACTTTATACTTTCAGTGTGTATGTTTCTCTTAGAAGGTAATGTTCATTCCTCTGAGTTTTCAGTAAATATATTTTCTTCCCTATACTTTTATTTAATGCTCATCATTAACAGCTGACACATATAAATATTTATCCTGGTTTTGTTAGCTTAGTATCCTAAGGAAATTATGTTCGTGTGATAGCACAGTCTGGTTTTGTGTTTTTCCCCTTCCCCATTAATTACTTTTTAATATGCTAGCCAATTTCTGTAAAGGAGTAGGGGTCTCAGAACTATTTCTTATGAAAACAGGCAGCTCGTAAAAGCATAAAGACTAACCAAATATCAAACTGAACTGAGCTCTACACACAAAAGTGGAGAAAGCCACACTCTACTGCTGACTATGCTTTACTTGTGTATTCCTCCCTTCAGAGTTTACTGGTGTCATATTAGCCTCAACAACCTGTTCACTGTTTCTTATTTATGTCCAACCTTAAGGCCCCTGGAATCAGTCAGGAGAACTTGCTGAGCTTAGACAATTCTGATTCAGCCTTTGGGAGCCATTTACACACTATCAAATTCAATTACCAGCACTTCATGAGATAAACATCCGAAAACTTCATCTCCAAAGGTGACATATTGCAGTGATTCGCTCACGAACTCTTCTGCTGTCTTTGTAATAAGGTCAGGTTTTTGGTACCTCGTCATTGGAGTAGAAACACCATAAGGAGTTACTACCTAAAATAAGAAGTCATAACAACAGCGTAATGTCATCTAACCCTTACACAGGGCCATTCACTCTAAGGAATACCATAGCATCTGACAAATTATGACACATATTTGCAATGGATTAAGGCACTATGTGGAATAAGTAATGATACTATGGTGGAATAAGGGGAGAAGCGGCATACAGGGAGGAGACAGTTTTCAGAGGGTCACCTGGCACTTCACCGAGGATGGAAACGTTATACAGATTTAGGCATCTCAGATATTATTGAAGAAATATTCTTTGTTTCCTTGATTTCCTAAAATTAAGGAAATAAGGCAAGATATAATAATAATAATACCTGTATAATAATTCCCTTTGCCTTATATTCTGCTTGTAGTGCTTTGGAGAAAGTGCTTATAAAAGCCTAAAACAAAACAAAACAAAACAAAACAGAAACAAACAAACAAAAAAAAACCCAACAAAATAATATCAGCTTGGGAAATGAAGTACTCTCACAGATACTCACAAATATATGAGAACAGGTTCTTAACAAAAAAGTCCAAGCACCACACAACCTAAGGCACAGAACAGTGATGAAAACCACAGAAACAAACTTTTCGAGACACAGTTTCTGCTGGTGCACATGATCAATGGCAAAATTGACTCTTATCTGCACCAGAAAAGATGGACCCTGGCATTGACCGAAGCCAGGCATCAATCAAGTACTGACTGGGCTGAAAACTTTGTCACATTTGTGAAAATGCAGCAATTTAAATATCTGAATGCCATTATTCTCATTATTGTTTCATGTGGCTCTCATCTCTGACTGACACCTGCACTCTCAGTTCAATGCTTACCCTGCTGTCTTGCAATAAAAAAGGGGAGTGAAATACAACTCATGCTTTCAGTGTAAAAATATTAGCACAGCCTACAAATAGGATTTTCAAAGTCAGGTACTTGAGAATTTGGGGGTTCTTTAGCTTCAGCTGTTAAAATTTACCTTTTGAAGAGAACACCATGAAGAGTACACATATACTAACTTATTTGTGTAGAAATTAAGTATCTCTCAAGACAGATTTCAGGAGTCAGATGTTTGAGAAATATTAAGAAAATTGGCAATCTTGGATCACTCCTCTGTAATTAGAAATATAAAAGTCCTACTAAAGAGGAAAAATGTCAGTGTTTCAAAGTCATCATTCGATGGGTCTTACAATTTAAACACCAATAATGTTGTGATAGTGCATGAAACATCAGTACACTGACAAATAAAATAGTTCCCTTTCAGGGCACTAGGGAAAAAAAAAAAAAAGAAAGAAAAAATTAAAGATACTCAAGAATGAAAAAGTAAAAATAATACAAACAATGTACCATATCACTTTGAAACCGTAAGGAAGTAAAATTGTCTGGTTTTAATGTAGTTCAAATTTGGAGTAATAAGAACCTTACATTAAAAACAGAAAAAATAATATTAGACTTTCTTACCAAGAATAATTAGCTTATTCTTACCAAGCTGAACTTTATGTTCAAGCAAATATTGTTGGAATCTTTCATTTGAAGCAAACCTGAGCTAAGCAAGTTGCTTCTTCAGTAAAAATCATTTACTCCTCGTTTTTTATAAAAAGCGGTGAGGCTTAAATTCAGAGCAAAATTTTAAAGTGAAATCTATGAAGTCAGGCAACTCACCACCCACATACCAAGAATTTTCTTGGTTCCATAAGCAAAACCTAGCATTTTTATGCATCTACACTTTTGAGTAAACTAGCTGAGACAGCAGGGTAAAAGTCATCATTTCCTGGAACAAGGGCAGATTGCAAGCGCTGGCATAATAGTATTTAAGCAAAGGCATAATTCTGTTCTAGTGATCAGATATACCTTCAACTGGATTTCATTTACATAGCTTCCCTGATTCTTAGCTCTCAGCTAGTCCTAATTTACATTACTTCGTTATTTCAGCAGAGCAACAGAGGTTTAAACCCTGAAAACTTGTCCCTGTGTTGCTGATTGATAGAAATGTTTTGGTAACACTTGGTGGGGGTTTCTTTATGAAGCAATGAGACAGACTTACCTTAGAAGCTGAGTACATTGTGTATAGTGGACAAGGGAAAGTACCCAAACCGGAGGACAGATTCAGAATAAGACCTTTCCGTCTGAAATTCAATTTAAATAGTTACATTCAGTTTACGTTTGACAGTATTGTAGTATAAGCCTGCACAAGTGGAAAACAGCCTTTCTTTCCTGAGAAGGCAAAGATCTCCTATTATACTGTAGACTACACTTTCAAAGACCCAATTTTTATGGTTTTGTTAGGTGCAATTAAATCTAAACCAGCTAGGAACAATGTCATAAGTGAAATTTAAATGCCTAGTGCAATCAGAACCATGGGAACATTGTACATGCTATTGTACATCTAACAGAGAAAAAAAAAATGCCATCAGAGGAAAGATTTTATGCTTCTAAGTAATTGGTCGGTCCCCTTTGCTCCTTAGCCAGCACATTCTTTCTCCTGCTCCTGGCATCTGTTGTTTTAGCTTTCCTATTCACAATTCCCTGTACAAATCACTAAAAACAATTCATTCAGCTACAACCAGGAAAAAAAACCAAACCAAAACAATTAAACACTAAGAGCTTGTTTTGTTGCCAAAACAAAGAACATGCACTAGCCTCTAAAATGCAGTAGTTAATGATATTTTCTAGAAGCTCCATCTGAAGACCTTAACATCTCCTTTAAGGACCCCCATGTCTAAATTACACATTGTATTAAAAAAAAAAAAGGGATCCTTAATTGCATAGCTGAATTAATCTCTCTTATGTAGTACAGGTATTTTCAGAGCTTGAAAAGCATTATTCCAAGCACAGCTACCACTCTTAGAAGAATAAGACATTATATTCAAATGCCATTTAAGAAATGGCTTAACTGGACCCATCCCACTCCATTTTATTTCTGCAACGCCTTCATGTTTTTACTGCACACAGGCCTATATTTTGTGTTTTTTGTCTTGTTCTACAGCTGACTGACAGTTTGTGGCAATTCCTATCATTCATTCACATAGCACTAGCAGCAGAAGAACTCTTACTGATTGACATACTGTAAAAGTGCAGAAGTTAATAGTGAAAAAGCACAGCTACAACTGAATAAACTGGAGGTAACAGCTAAAAGCTATTGTAAGGTCTAGGAAAAAATCAGTTTTACCTTGACTCCATTTGTTTCAAAATCATTTTTGTCATCTGTAAGATAAGTATGTTAACAACTATATCCATTCTCCCCTTTTCTGATTTCATTTTTTAACTAATCTTGCTTTATTCACAAGATATCAATTGCTTGAGCAGTTCAAAGTTTTGGAAGACATTTTAAAAATGTTAATAACCTGAAAATCATCTGAATTGTCAAAGAAAAACAAACCAACCAAACAAACACACAAAAAACAAACCTAAAACCAAACCCAACCCCCCCAACGTTTAGTCTTCTAAGCAGTGAAAGTCTTTTGCTTCTCCAAAGCTTTTCAACAGTTTCTGAATTTTGTCATTCTTCACTACTGAATTATAACTGTAAGGAGAAAGTCAAATTCATAGTGGTTTTTCATTTTTGCTGCTGGCTCTACCTGGATTAGAAATAGCAGACATCTGCGAAAAGACAAGTATTTTTTTTTATGCCACCAAAAATAGCTTTAGGATTTTAGTAATGAAAAGTAGTGCAAATGAATGTTGCACATTAATTCAGTACTTACTAATTCCCTATTTTTTTGATAGTGCCATTGTACACATCCTGGTAGCAGGAGAAGGGTGTGGTTCACAAGTTTATTTTCAGAAAGGGTGGCAATGGGCCACATCAGCTTGGGTAAAGAGGGATTTCCAAGTGGAAAACCTGCAAAGGTCCTCCTTTTGCAGTGCTGCACTTATCACCCACATCTGTGGAAGCCAGGAACATCTGGAGTTGGGCATCCTAATGCATGGTGAGCAGGATTCTGGCAGGAATTAAGCCAGGGAGGAGGGCAGGGGGGAACAAATAGAAGGTGATTTGGACCTAACTATGAGGAATGCTGATTAGCAGCATGACTTCTTCTTTGTGTTTTGGAGGAAGGTGAATGTTCATGGAAGACTGAAAAACATGCATTGCAGCAGTGGGGGAAAGGAATCCCCAGGTCCTGGTGAAGCAGAAGATGTGGATTCTGAGGTATGTGTAAATCTGGAAATGATAAATGGAAACACTTTTTTTATCTGGACTGAGAGGGTACAAAATGTTCGCCTGTTTTTGTGAAGTGTGTATATATATATATATATAGCAATCAAGTACTGCAGATATTTCTATTATTTTGACATGTAAATAGGATAAAACCTGGGAGCAGAAAGTTCACCAAACTACCTTATAGAAGAATTTGTTTCAGTTGACTAATATTACGTGATTTACTACCTGAAGTCATCAAGCAGCAGTACAAATTTGTGATATAAAGTTTGCTAACCAAAGAAAGACAAACATCTGTTGATAATTTTCATGCCATGTTTAGAAAGATATTAACCAAGGTTGAGATGAACTACAAAGCTCTTGTCCTACTCTTGTTCATGTTAACACACTGCTTGCAAACAGCAGAGCAATACAAATCTTAATCACGCTTGGAAAGCATGGAATACTAACTACTAACAGTTCTTGTAGGAAAGCAGCCAACCAAAATTAGCACCAAGAGGTAAAGTACAGAACTGGGAGTCAGCTCCTTCAGTTTTTGTGCTTCACTGATACTAAATATTCTGTAAAATAACATTAAAATATTATTCTAAAAATAAATATTCTGGTTTTGCAGAACAGAATGGCGATCAAAGGAAAAAAGGCAAGAGTACGGTACAGAAAAAGCCGAACTGCAGATCTTCTTGTCTTGAAGATTTTGATTCTGAAACAAATCTGTTTACCGAAACAAACATGGTTTGCAACATGTTTCAGCTGCAGTGTAACAATATGTTTCAATCAAGAACTGTGTTAAAATGTTTCCAGTCAGCTCAATTAAAATATTTCAGGGGCCCTAGGAGCAGATAAGGCCCTTACAATAGCGCTGACATTCCTACTGAAAATTGCTGTCTGCTGAAAAATTAAATGAAGATGCAAAGGAAAGCTGGTTGGACACTCTGTGTGGGACTCTTTTCCCAATAAACTGCATTGCAGATGTAACATAGATGCGAGTGTGTCACATACCTTTGTAACAGAAATAATGTTGCAGTTGACAAGGCTCTGCATGAAGCAAAGAAACAGTTAAGTTCATAGCTAACTCCCAGGGAGTTTGCAATTCATCCCGGTAAGACAGCTAACAATTCCAACTGAAAAGCCTTGTAGCAAGGCAGTTGCTTTTAGAGCTGCTTAGCTTGCCTCAGATTGCCACTGGCTGCCCCTGTGCTGTGGGACAGTCAAAGGCAGGTAAATCCTGATTTATTTTATTTTGAACATGGCATGCAAATCTGCTTTGCATCCACTTGATTCCATGCCTTCCATTTTGCACAGCCACGCCAATGCACATGGAGAAACCTGGACGTCTGGACAGTGCTGGCAGTAGCAAACCAAAATGGATGCACATGGGCAACAAATCATGGGTGTGCCGGGCAGACAGTGAGTGGCTCTCAATGACAGAGGGACACTGTGCTGCAACAGCACTGCCATGTAGAGATACCTTCCCAAGACCAGCACCAAACACAGGTCATACCAGACATGCCATCATATGACTGCAGGTCAGAGTAAAGCAGCCAGCTTGTGGACCTCCTATTTGTAATAGTTTATAATATATAGATTGACTGGATCCCAAAACGGGCACTAGCGAGAAATACGTTTAGAAATTCTGTGTTGTTCTTTTTTTTCATGGCTAATACTATAGAGGTAAATAACAATAAGTCAATGAAAAATGTGATCACATCCTAAATACTGTCAAACTATTCTACATGTGTAAATTAATTAATTCCTTCCAAAAGTAAACTGTATTTTAAAGAGGTTTAGTTTTTAATTTTTTTTTTTTTTTCTTTTCACATACTTAAATGATGGTGCTCCAAAGAAAGTAAGCTTTCATAATACTAACAATAACCCAATACTTCAGCTGTGGCTGAAGTGACAGGCTTGACCCCATTGTATTACAAGTCAGCCCTGAGCCAGAGGGGCTGCTGACCCCTCCTACAACCTGTCCAGCTGCACACTCTTCCCCTATCACTGGGCGCTTGCTACAGTTTAGCTGAAATCTACCATTGTGTGTCTCTTGTAAGTTCTTCCAAGCATGAAAACCGAATCAAACTATACTCCTTCAGGACGGGTTCTTTTCGCACTCAACTGAACAGTTAAATACACACTGATTTTAGCAGGGGCAAAATCTGTCCCTTGTTAAATGGAATTACAATTCCTCATTGTTATATTGAAAGTAGAAACCCACAGAGTAATCCTACCTCATCTATGTCTGATCCATTAAGGAAACGGCATGGAAGAGGATTATGAAGCATTCCAACATTGTTAACTAATCAAAGGAAATATAATGATAAGAACCAAATCTAGACAAAACGCATAGTTCAGCTAGTTAAACAAATGGCTTCTCCCCAAGGCCCAGAAGCTTTTGAGTTGTATGCGAATAGAAATGCTGTTTAACATCGAGTCTTGTTCTCACTGAAGTCATCAATAGTAAACACTCCTGATTCAGGGAATGAAAAACCAATCTGTTGCTATAGTTTGGGGGTTTGTTTGGTTTTGGGTTTTGCTGTTGTTGTTTCATTTGTTTCACTATTAAGAGGATTATTTTCTTCACAAGAAAAGAAAACCAAACCAAAAAGAATGCCCCTCCTAAAACCATGTTTTCATTGTTGCTGCCTGTATTATACCAATTAGTGTTAGTCACAAGCTCATTTCAGATTGAATATAAGAATTGTACATAGTTGCAAAACAACCAAGAGTGAAAATGAATTTATTGAGGCCAAATAGGGAAGAAGTCACCCCACAAACTAAATGCTGTTTGTAAAGCAGCAGAAGAGGTTTCACAGTGAAGAAGCCACAGCATAGAGAAACAAGAAGCCTTTGGAGCATCCTAACTCACTTTTAAAACTTGTTCACAAAAAGTAATGCTCAAATGCATTAGGCAGCTGCGTGCTTGGTTTTAAATGTTGGCTAACAAGCTCTTATGACACATCATTTGTACAATTCTGTGTTTAATACACTGCAGCCATAAAATACCCTTCAATTAGCAGATCTTGATGACTCACCCAGAACACCAATATCCAAGCCTTGCAGATTTTTTTCAATGTTCTCATATACTGAATTTTTAGTGAAATCAGCTTGTATGATCTTCACCTTTTGACCTGTGGTTTGCTCTGTAATTAAGGAAAGAAAAAAAAAAAAAAAAAAAAGAAAATCCTTTTGTATCTACCCAGAGAGAGGGAGAGCTGAAATTAAGTAATGAGAAAAAATCAGAGGTCTCATTCAGTAATACCTGCTGTATAGTACACAATTGTTTCAATTTTCTTACTTTCAGAAATATCACAACACAAGCAAAGCATTCCCACTGTACTCAGCTGTTTTCAGGGAAATTGCCTGGCATATATAAGATGAATTTGTGCCCTGAAACCTGTGGAAGTTCCCTCACAAAATATAAACACCATCTGGACCTTCAGTAAGGAAAAAGAATCCCAGAAATAAACAACACAGGACTTCTTCCTCTGGTCATCATAATATTTATAACTGAACACTATCAGCACATGTTAGGCAAGTGAATGTGGAAGCCAGGTCCTCTATATAAGCACTGTTTTGCAGAACGGTTTAGAAGTGTTTCCATGTATAAGATGAACATTTTAACAAGCAGAGCTTGTTTTTTTCATGTAGGAGGAGGACAAAATAGGGCTGAATGTGAAACAGTATTTTTTGCATTATTTCCAAACAATTCCTCTCTTATTTTGACATTTTCACTCTCCCCGGCTGAACTTTCCCCAGAATTTTGCAGGACTAAAAGGCATTTTAGGGAGGGTATGACTTGAATTTTACAAGGTCAATTTACACAGAAGGGGAAATATGTGTGATTTGTCCAGTGTCTTTGCAATGCAGGAGTGGAGCCCAGCTGTACATTACCATTTTTCTCAGCAGTTTATTTATTGCTGTTCATACTTTCAATGAAGTTTCATAAGGAAAAGAGGTAGAGGCTCTTATTTACTCATTTTTAAAGGCAAGGTTTTCCTTTAAAGGGGCCCAATAACTAGATGTTCACATTGTAAATTCTTGCTACTAAATCTGCTTTCAAGTTTTATGGGCAACCTGAAATCCAGATGAAGTTTGCTGAAAAAGTGAGAGGCAAAGCTTGGAAAGGTCAATAGATGATTGGGTTTCAGACTCGGTGCAAGTGGCAGAAACTCAGGTGCATGGGTCTTGTTTGGGAAACTGTCTCTGTTTGTTTGGATGCTGATTTTATCATACAGGCAACAGAGAGCATTGCCTTGAATAGGAATCGGTTTTGATGTTTTCCATGCAGTAATCTTGCTTTACCCCTTGGTGAACATGGAGAACTTAGGAAGAGGCCTTGCACCAGCTCCCACTGGAGAGCAAGGTTAGCAAAAAGCTGGCTTTGGGTCCAGCAGGCCAGTTTGCAACAAAACACAGCCTCTGCTGGAGGATGAGAGAAAGCTGTTCCCTCACAGTTTTCCCTACTTGCTCCTTAATATACTACAAGTCTTGACCACCTTATGCTACTCAGGTAATGCAAGCACTTTGAGGAAACAGCAGGTGCTCTGACTCCAGATCTGAAGTGTTCACTGCCCTTTTTCTTGCCCACTTTCCAAGCTGGTGTTGTGTGAATGAAAGGGACAAAACACCCTTTGAAGCTTCAACATATAAAAGCTATTCTAGTGGTAAATGACCCCCTCATGGTCCCAGGCTGGTGAATGGTACAACTATAAAGAAAAGGACATTGTGAGATAAATGCAGTGAGTGGGAAAGGACAGCAACAGCTGGAGTGGACACCTATGGTGACCTTGTGGTTGAAGAGCTCTATAAACAAAATGAGATGGTCTTAAAAGCTGTAGTGATGTTGTAGCCTATTGCTCGAGGGCAATCAGAAGGGCAGCCAAAACTAGAGCAACATAAAAATGAGGATCAAACAAAACATTTGTACTTTCTCTGTGTCCCCTTGTCTGTACCAGACTGTACTGCTGCAACCAGCACTGTCAGCCAGCAAACAAGTACTCCAGATGACTTTCCTCTGTCTCATTTAACAATAAAACAATATATGAAAAAACAATAAAACTATCATGCTGATAAATGAATTATCCAGGGATAGCCCTTCAGAAAATGGTAACAATTCTGCAAAGGAGAGAGCCAAAAAATAATTTCCAATGTTTCTGATGTCTATAATTCTCTGTGACAAAGATTTATGAATACACAAGCCATTCCACTCTTTTGAAAAGTCTTAAGCTTGCCAGAAACAGAAAGCCTAGGTTTTCAAACATCAGGACAGCTTATTGCCTATGTTAAAAATGAACAGAAAACTAATTTCTTAGCTTGAGCTGAGTTGTTTAATCCGATTTGTTATAAAATATATCATTAAGAAGGATACATCTAATGCCTTCTGACCTCAGGCCACTTGGGAATCCCGCTTGTCAGATAGGATAATATGCTGTCTTTTGAAATTGATCAGGAATAGAATAAATCAGTGTGAAGCATGAAGTTGGTTAGGACATGCAGTGTGCCAGAAACTCTCATTTTCTATTTAGAGAGTTATGAAGATCTTCTGAAAACCTGAGGTTACAAAATGAATGCCCGAGTGGCACAGAACTGATCTTTCTAGAAAGAGGAGACCCTTTTGAAGTACTGTAACAAAACTTGAATATCACAGAATGGCTGGGGTTGGAAGGGACCTCTGGAGGACACCTAGTCCAAACCTCCTGCTAAAGCAGGTTGCAAGGGATTACATCCAAGTGGGTTTTTAATGTCTCCAGAGAAGGAGACTCCACAACAGCCCTGGGCAGCCTGTTCCAGTGCTGTCACTCTCAAAGTAAAGAAATTTCTCCATGTGTTTAGATGGAGTTTCCTGCATTTCGGTTTTTGCCCATTGCCCCTTCTCCTGTCACTGACCACCACTGAAAAGAGAGGCACCATCGTTTTGACACCCACCCTTAAGATATTTGTATGCACTGATCAGATACCCCAGAGCCTTCTCTTCTCCAGGCTAAACAGGCCCAACTGCCTCAGCCTTTCCTCATAAGAGAGGTGTTCCAGACCCCTAAACATCTTTGTAGCCTTCTGCTGGATCCTTTCGAGTAGTTCCATGTCCTTCCTGTACTAAGGAGCCCAGAACTGGATACAGTACTCCAGATACGGCCTCACCAGGACAGAGTAGAGGGGCAGGATCATCTCCCTCTACCTGCTGGCCACAGGTCATGACGTGAGAAGTGCTTAGAACAAGATGGACATTCTTATTCAGTGGAAATTTGCAGAGAGAAGAGCAAAATGAGAAGTTACTTAAATAATAGAAAGAAGTTACAAAACAATAAATTTAAGACTGGGCAGAAATAAAAAAACTTTCATGTTAAATTATAAAGCACAAGTTCTGGCTACATTTTGAAAGTTTTTTTGACAAATGCATCTTCTCAGAAATATAAGCTAACATGGTTTCAGAAATAACAGGAAAACAGAGAAGAAACAAAAAGAATGAGGGTAAAAGCAGAACTGCAAGTGATGATAGAAAGTACCACTGAAGACAAACTCAATGAAAACCAAAATGAAATTAGCAAAACCAACTAACCAACCAAAACCAATTCAACAAAAAAACCCAACACATCCCTCTCCACCAAAAAAAGAAAAAAAAACCCACCCCCCAAAAAACTCAAAAACAAACAAACGAAAACAAAACAAAACAACAAAAAAAACAAACAAGCAAACTAACAAACAAATCCCAAATGAACAACAAAAAAGTTGTTACTGTACCAGAGCACTCAGGAAATCGATCAAGTGCTCTTTTATGGAGTAATGCAGAAGATCGGGAAAGAATCTTGAGCATTAGCACTTTACCTCAAGGGATCAGCAAGACACAACAGGAGTTTTGGCAACCCTTAAGGATGAAGGAAAGATGTGCCAAGTGAGTTGTCTCAGGCTAATCAGTGATTTCAGTTTGTTACTTGCTTAGCTCTTGAAGCAGGAAGGACAAGAGAAGCAGAGGACACAGACTATAACAGATTGGAAACAACCTATAACAGAGGGGACAGCTAAATGAATTAGCACCTTTGCAGGTCATAGGGGGAGCAAGGCACATTTGATTCCAGACTGTGTGAAGTGATTTTTTTTTAATGCACTACTTTGCTCGATATTAACAGGAATAATTTCAGGAGGAAGAAGTAGATAAAATACTTCCTGCATCATCAAACTCAAATTCATTAACACCACCAAAACCTGGACACCCTTGTTGTGAATAATTTTTGTGTTTTACAGAAGTGGGGATTTTTGTTTGTTTGGCATTAGCACAAAAAGAGTAATCCTGGTTGTATATTGATCATAAGGTATAGCTTCTCAATGAGGACCTACCTTTGTCTGTAGAGAAGAAATAAAATAAGTGTGCAGTTAATGCATTCCATCCTAAAATCACAGAATCATAGAACAGTTTGGCTTGGATCATCTAGTTCCTGCCCCCTGCTATGGACAGGCATGCATCACACTAAACAATTTCTAATCTCCTGGTACTATGGTTTGATCAGTGTTTTCACAACCACTGTGCTAAATGGGTTAAATGAGCAGTACACCTGGTGTGATGGTCCTCTCTGTCTGCCCTCCATAAGACTTACTTCCTTATCTTTTATCTCATTCTAAAAGAGCTTTCGAGACTGAATGGGTGGAAATTTGGTTTTCAATTCCAGTGCTTCTCTAGAGAAACGTTTTTCTTACTGAGGATTTCTGCCTACTCCAGCTTTGAGAGCTGTTCTCCGGCACACTTTTGGCCTATAGAACCAGGAAAGCCAAGCGCTGAGATCTCTGAAATTACCCACAGTTTAGGCTCTTTAAATTTCTCTTGTTCAGTACTCCATAGGAATGTTGACAGTATGATTAGGCAAATAATGTTATCAGTTTGAAGAGGGAGGCAAGTCTTAAATTATGATGTCCAAGTGACTGCAAAAAGATACGTGGTATAGCTGTTAAGAAAAAGGAAACAAGAGTAACATGTTCAGTCTTGCAACAAATTCACACAGCCTGCAAAAAACTTTCTGTGCCCTAATCTCCTAGTTCAGGGTAGTGATAGCTGCTTGGAGTGAGATGATGCTTGTTAAAGCAGTATAGAAAGTCAGTGAGAGTTAGAAAATTGTGAAAACTGTATAATCATTCTGGATAAGTTCCTGTTGCATATTTGTTTTCCATTGTTTATTTACTGACATAACATCACAGGAAGTTTAATTTTTTTTTCCTTCACAATGACTGCTCAGCTTAATTACAGTAAAGCCTGAATCTGAAAGTCGGAACTAGTGGAACATTTCCAAAGCTTTAACATAAGACCACATCCAGAGCTCCCTGTTGATTTTAATGGCATCCAGGTCATATAATCTATGCTTTTCATCACTCTATCTTCCTCTCTTTCCCTTTGTTTGTGCCACCTACTTGTTGTTATGCACTCATTGCCAACCTGACACAATAAATAACAGAAGAGTCACTCTGGGCTTCTACCAAAACCCACCAAAAGCAATGGAAAGGTCTCACTGGGGTTTGCCACCAATTTCAGCAAGCTCTGGGGAAAAATCTTTATGGTCACAACCAAGCTGAACATACTGCAGCCTAATCAATGTAGCCTGAGCTGCTGGGGTCAAACCATCCACCTCCCCACACCTTCGATTACATGGATAACACTGCTGCTGTCAGTAAAGCTTCCTGACGTGCAAGAAGTCATGGGTCAGTTCTGCACAGGCATAGGAGTGTTTGCAGGGTTGGCTATCTCAGAGTACCTTTCAGGACATGGCAAGTACTTCATCACACACTGCTACACAATTCATCACAGTAATTAAGAAAGTGGCCAGTGGATGGCCTTACAATAAATTATAGTCCAGTGGAATTTACAGTATGTCATCTTTCCATCCCTTCACCATGTTTTCTCTTAGCTATGTTAGTGTCAGGAATCTTTTTGTTTCCATTCTTTGCTTCTGGTTTTAATTTACAATGCAAAGAAACTAAAAACTCTTTAGCTTTTATTTCTTCAGGTTTTTAGTATTGTAATTCTTTAACAATCATAGCTGCAAAGAAATGCAACAATGGCACCAGAGCTGACCTAATTGTCACAGAAATTATTTTTTTATGGCTGTTTATTTAAGAGGGGCTAGTGTAGGCCATAGTCACATTGACCTCATAGATATCACTGCTTATAGCAAGTTGGTGCTTTCCTCCTCTGACACCTGTTGCTTCTCAGCAAAACAAGTTTATCCCTGGAAAAAAAAAAAAAAAAAAAAAGAAGAAGGAAAATTGGATGGAAATTTTCAGGGTCAAATCTTTGATTTTGGTAGCAGCAGGTTCAGATATTAGAGACTTTTTCACCCACTTCCAGTCTGCCATGTCCCTGAAAGATGCCCTGCTGTCACTGGACCTGATACTCTGCTGGAGTCAGCTGCTAAGCCTGCTTAAAGGTAATTCCTGACAGAGGTGTAGTTTTGGAGTGACACATGCTTCACATAAGAACCTGTGAATCAGGGAATCTGGTGGGTAGAAGCCATGTATAGAAAAAGAGACAGTGGAAAGAGCAACCTTGATTACAGCAATCTTTAAAGTTAATGGAGGATAGAAACTCATTTGACTCCTAAATAAAACTTAACCATGAATTTTTATGTGTTTTAACAATCCATTTCCCGTTGTAAATGGCTAATTTCTTCCAAAGAAAGGGAACATTAATTCTAAACTAATTCCAAATATACACTATTTAATTGCTTTATCAAAAACCAAATATAACTTGAAAACCTTAAAAAAACTGCCAAACAAACTAAATTCAGACAGGAACCTTAATTTCAATTTTATTCCTTCTTTGCTATGTCCAAAAATTAGCCTAAATGTAATCTTACTTTTCCAAGTTTAAACCATTTCATAGATGCCTCCAATGACTCTAGTATTGCAACTCCTTTGCCCCGAAGATTTTAAAGGCAGATAAAACCAGTAAAGAATACACATTCACTTTTTTTATCAAACCCATCTCACTGATTGAATGATAGAACACATTTTTAAAGCAATCCATGATCAGAAGTGTTCAAGCAGCATGGTAATACCAGAATCATGTTTAGTGCTAGAGCAATGCCTGGGGGCCTACTGAACTAGACACTGTACAAAGGGAAGAGACCCCCAGGTCCCTGTAAATCCACTCTGATAAACAGGAAGATGAGACAAACACTTACCAACTTCAATGGCTGCTCTCTGTAGTTTTTCAAGAGTTCTGCTTATCATAACTACATTTAATCCACGTTTTGCCAGCTACAAGAAAGGAATATGAGAGTTGTTAAGAAACAGTAAGGTGATAAGAATCTTTCAATTTTTTCCAATCCTGCAATATAAGCAATCACAGAGTTTTTAAATTTGCTTTCATTTACCTGTCATCTGCCTAATGGGTAAACAACAGATATTAAAACCAGGCCAAACAGTAAACAGTATTCCAAAACATCTCCTTAATTGAGTAATCTTGGACCCTTACAAGACATACCATGCAGTCAAACCCCAATAACATGTACAAAAATAAAAATACTGAGCCAATTTCAAATGAACGCATGTCTGCAGTTAAAACAAACATGACATTTCCCAGAAACACATTTTTATTTCTGCTTGGATCTCAGAGCCCAAATATATTGATGACATCATAGTCATTTTACAACATCACCTTCCATCCTTATCTTTTTATTCTGAGGAAGTAGATTACATATATTGAATTGAAGGCTTGAGAGTTTGAAAGGGATTGAACCTTATTCGTATTTTTTAATAGGAATCAAATATGATAGATTTTAACTGTTTCTTTCTTTAGATGCAAACAAACAAATAAAAGCCAAAAAAAAAAAAACACCCAAAAAACACCACCAAAAGACCAAAACCAACCAACCAAAAAAACCACCCCAAAACAAATAAATAAAAATAAAAAAGAAAGAAAAAAGAAGAAGAAACAAGGAAAAAGATGAAATCTGTGCTTAAAACCTCAAAATATAATCCCACAAATGTACATCCACAAAGTTATTGGCAACAGTTGAAGTTTATGCCTATGAATACTATTTAATACAGCATTCTGTTTATAGTCAGCTTGGTATTATCATGTGCAGAACAAATGCAGAACAAATAGAGAATGTTTTTCTCCTGTTTTCCCAAAGCATCCCATTCCCATCAGTTAAAAAGTCTGAGGTAAAACCTGAAGGACAAATGTGGTCCCAGCTTTGGAAAACGGATTATCAAAAAAATGGAAGATAAATGGAGTTGTGTGCATGAAGAAAGAAAAGATAAAGCTGAAAAAAAAAACCATGCCCATGAGAGCAAGGAGAAAGAACTGGATTAGCCAGCACTAAGATAAAGCCAATGCCATCTGAAAGCACAAGGTTTTCTTAGAAGAAGAAACTTACTGGTGAAGGTCACACACTGAAGACCCATTCGTTTCCACAGCTGATGCCCTGCAATGATTTCTGCTTAAAGCTATTTAAGTGAAAAAGTTTGTCCCATTTGGCTTTTCTGAAACAGTGCAGAGAATGTTAAGGAATAAGGACCTTTGTTCAAAAATTCACTACATTGAGAGTACAAGGGGAAGACTGCCCATTAAATGCATCAGCCACAATCATTTGTGTTTTTAGCATAAAGACCAAGTTCAAAATTCTGTGCTTTTGGAGACCCTTTAACATAATTGACTGGTGCTCCAAAGAGACCTGCACAGACTTAGAGACACTCAGGAGTTTCAAAAGCTTAAGGGCTCCATTTGAAGTTCCCAGGAAGAGAACTCTAATTGCCTACATAGAGGCAGCAGATTTCCCTTCGTCCACAGCAAGCTTGGCTCTAGCCATTTCCAATTGGAGGCATGGTCTCCGTTTCCATGGTCATTGCCACTTGGGAGTGTTAGTTGGGTTTAATTTAATTTCTGTGCCTTCAGACCCAAAAGTAAATACCACCCAATGTCATATACAAAATAAAAACAAAGTTCTGCTTCACTGGGCTTGTCAGTATCATCTCACTTAGGTCTCTGTATTTCACTTGGTAGAATAATATCTCCTAACACCTAAGTAAAAAAATATTCCTCTTGCTAAGATTACATTGTACTTCAGCTAAAAATTCATGTTTGTGGCAAATTGTTAACTGCTGTACTCCAGACTAAGCAGAAGTATAATGCTGTAACAACCATTTCTGGAGGCAAAAGAAGCTACACCTGACTATTCCTTTTTGCTTCTTTGCCCACATACAAAATGCACACCTTTATCAGAAATAGGTTTTGTAGGACATTATGAGATTCAAACGCACTCTCACACAAAGAACTGTGTTTAGAAAAGAAATTCCTGGCCATCCACTGGAAAAGTTAAATCAGGTTTAACTCTGCTGCATTTCAAATAAAGGTAACTTTTAATGTAGATGTCTTTAGCACAAAACATTTTCTGAACATAGAAAGGCTTTGATGTTAGAGGATGGTATTGCCCCTCACACTTAAGAACAAGCACTAGCTTCCACCACTGTGTAACGTGAATCTGCTTGTGTTAGGAAACCCTGACTCCCAGTGGCAAAGGGCTAAAATGCTCCTGCACCTCTGCCAAAATGTTGCCAGCCATAATAAATTATGACAACTTAGCATTTAGAAATGAGGCTAATAATGAAGAAAGATCAAGCAGGATCTGCACTCTGGGGTCTTGCAAACTCATGGTTAAAAAATTTAAACCTACATTAAATTATTACAAAGTCACTCTGCATTTTCTAGTATGATTTTTCAGCTCAGTCTGAGGCAAAATTTTAATCAATAAAGCTTTATGAAAGGCAAGACACGGATTTTAGATTCAACCGATGCATGTAACTGCTACAGTTACTCTGATAAATTGGTTATATTCTACATGAATAATTAAAGGTAATACTTTAAAATTCTTAAAAATGCTTTATGGGATCTGTAGCCACCTACTGTAAATTTCTACCTATTACAAAAGAGATTCATCTCCAGGAGTAAGCTGATATGTCCTCAGTGCTTCACCCCTTTTTTTTCCTTCCCTGAGGTTCACACCTGTAGGATCTCTATGATTCAAATATTTCAACCTCTTTTGGTCCAGCAAACCAAAACTGAAACAAAAGGGCAGAAGAATTCTGCAGTCTTTCTGCCAGCTATGTGCCTGTGCCACGCAAGTAGAAGAGCAGTATTTCCAGGGTAAATCCAAGAGCAAGTGGAGAAATTAGAATATGTTTCCAACTGGAGTGGAAGAACTCACATCATATTTATCTTGTATTATACTGCTGGTAATACTATGCTCAATTTCAGGAAATGAAACGAAGGTTTAAGATTTGAGGAACTGTTGTATTAACAAATGAGTGCAGTGCCTGTCTCAAGATGGTCTGCTAATGCATTCATTAGAAGCAAGAACTGGCCTGAGTTATGACAGAGTTATGAACCGTTAACAATAACAAAAATGGTGACCATATAAGCCACCAACACCCTCCTTGTGCGCTGACGTCAGATGGGAAGTGTGCAGGGCCTAAACCATAAATCTCTGAGTACAGCATGGTCTCATTCATAAACCCAGTACGTTTGAAGTTCTAAGTCAGTAACAGATCCTAAAGCACATCTTTAGTTATTACATCAGAAAAACAGAAGAAACAAGACTGCACTGATACCTGAATCGCTAACAATTTAGTAGAGATGTTGACAGTCTAGCAGCACACTAGGTTTTGTTCCTTGGTTTTGCTCCTTGTCATAAGTCTGGTGAGTCTAAACTCTATCAGCTCAAGAACTAACAGACCGAATCTAACAGACACCTAGCTTTTGAAATGAGCATAGCAAACTAGACCCAAAATCCCAGTGCTCTGACATCAGAGCAGTCAGTTAAACGGTCACGGTCGTTAAGCTCAAAAAGGTCAGTCGTTCAGAAGCACCCTGATATGCTAGAAATACAGACAGCCTTCATGGAAGCCAGCTCTTGAGCTTAATAGACTTTGCAGAGACCTTTATCTAGTCATAAACCTTGAAAATGAGGGTACTGAACCAGTAAATATTACAATCTCTGAGTGTGCCTCAATCTGTTGGCTCCTACCTACTGAACCACCTACTTGGATTTCCACATGAAAGGGCAGAGAAAGCCACATCACGCTAGCCTTCTAAAACACAAGAGCTGCTCTCCTTAGCCTTCTGTACCATATTCTACCACCAAGTGCAGAGCCCTTACGTTTTTGTGTACTGCTATCAGCCCATGCCTGAGCTCAGGATGTCAGAAAGAAATTCACCACTTTGTGTCAGAGCTCAGACACTAGAACAGTCACTGTGGTCATCAAATAAGGCTTGACTTCACATCAGCCCATACCACCAGAGGAACCTATGCCAGAACATCAGAGAATTTCATACCCTGACATCAGGCCAGCAAGACAGCAGTGCTGAGCCAGGAACTCCAAAGGCACACAGATACTAAAACAGCAGGGTCAGATTTATTTATCCACAGGCCACACAAAAAGCGTGCTTTGACCTCAGCCAGCAAGATGACATGCCAAGCTATGAGCTCACGTGGTATGGGTTTGGGATCTGCCCCACAGAGTGGTAGCTGAGCACAGTTTTATCAAAGGGACCACCTGGAGAGGAAGGTACATCTCAGCATGGATAAAGATGGCTCTCAGTCATCCCACAAAAGCCAAAAATAATGAAGAAATGTCCCACAAAATCCAGTCAGTTCCAGCCAAGATTTTTTGTGATTTTTTTTCAGGTTTTTGGTGCTTTGTGTTTTTTCTTTCAAATTTTTTTGTTTGTTTGTTTGGGTTTTTTACAGAGTAGTTGTTTTGTTTTTTCTCATGGTAAAAAGCAGCCATTTGCATGCTACAGCTGGCATTTAAAATAAGATTTACTCTTGCATAACCCATAAAGCACAAAAGAAGCAGAACAATATTGTGGTTTAACACAGAGGCTTTGATCTAGACATTCACAGGTTCCTGCAGCCTTCACATGGATAAAATATCGCCAGGTGCTCACACACAAAATGAGTTCAGCAAGCTGCACATACAAATGGCTACACTTGGTGCTAAGTAAATATTCAAGCATTTCTGACTATTTCTTCCCCTGTCTTGATCCTATCCCATTCCCCAAGACCTATGTATTCATCAGACTCTTTCCATTTGTCCATCACTACAGCAACTCAGTGAGTAGACAAGGTGACAATATTATTCTTTCTCTCCCATGGGAAAGCCTGTGATCTTTATCACAACTATGCCAAATGTTCAACAATAATACCTGGTATTTGTGCTTCCTACATTCAATGCACTTTCAAAAGGAGTTATTGTATTGCCATTCCCAGTAATGAAAATCATAAAGCAGGTGCTGAAACAATGCACATACTTTGCAAGTCTAGCTTAATCCTGTAAATCAATTCAAAAGCCAACTTACTTTCCTGTGAGGTCTATTTTATAATTTATGAGCAGATTGCATCACAGCTAAACTCTTGATTATTGTTAGAGAATCATAAGATGATTTGGATTGGAAGGGACCTTAAAGCTCATCCAGTTCCAATCCCCCTGCCATGGGCAAGGACACCTTCCACTAGACCAGGTAGCTCAAAGCCCCATACAACCTGGCCTTGAACACTGCCAGGGATGGGGCAGCCAAAGCTTCCCTGGGCAACCTGTGCAGTGTCTCACTACCCTCACAAGAAAGAACTTCTTCCTAAGATCCAATCTAAATTGCCTGTCTTTCAGTTCAAAGCCATGCTCCATCTCTTGTCACAACATGCCCTTGTAAAAAGTCTCTCTCCAGCTTTCTTGTTGGCCCCCTGTAGATATTGGAAGACTTTTCTAAGACTCCCAAGAGCCTTCTCCAGACAGAACAACTCCTGCTCTCTCAGCCTGTCTTCATAGGAGAGGTGCTCCAGCCCTCTCATCATCTTTGTGGCCTCCTCTGGACTTACTCAAGCAAGTCCATGTCACTCTTGTATTGAGGGCCCCACAGCTGCACACAATACTCCAGGTGAGGTCTCACAAGAGCAGAGTAGAGGGACAGGATCACCTCCTTTGACTTGCTGGTCACGCTGCTTTTGATGCAGCCCAGGATACAGTTGGCTTTCTGTGCTGCAAGTGCACACTGAAGCCAGTTCATGTTCATTTTCTCATCAATCAGCACCCCCAAGTCCTTCTCTTCAAGTTTAGCTTCTAGAAAAGGCGCCAGTCACTATCACTAATACCAAGGCTGGTGCAGGACAGTACAAGATCACCCTGTCTTCAGTGCTGGTGAGCACAGTTGAACAGAAAGGGACTGCTGTAGTGACTCTGCACAGCAGCAGCCGCAGGACCAGCACAGAGCTCCTCCTTCCTCCTGCAGCCTCCAAGAGCTATCAATCCATAATTAAACCATTAGGATTCCTTATAATTTCTGAAACCTGCAGTTTATATACATTTATAGAGATTTCTTCGTTATATTTTGTTTCACATATATCATTCAAAATATGTTTTCAAGTGCGAAGGCTAGAAAACTACATTTTGTATGCTAAAGATGAACCACTCCACTGGAAGTCAGAAAACATATTAGCTGCAAAACTGGGGGAAAAAAGGACAATTTAGGAGACTTCCTACCCTGGAAGGCAATGTGAAATCTTTATGATTTTCTTGGTCTGATGAGACCGTTGTGAAATGAATTACTTTCCTCTGAAATGCTGCACCTGTTTCCTTTTGAAAGTTGATAAATGCCATTCTGCACACAGGGGAGAAGGATCAGCACCGTGTTTGTAGCAGTGCCTTTGAATCCTAGAGTGATTACACTAACTTGCAGAAACCGATGAAGGGGTAGCATTTGCCATTTTGTTAAAATAAACTTAAGGGTGAGTAATCTATCTTACCTCAAAGGAATATGCTCTTCCAAGCCCTTCTCCTGCTCCTGTGACCACTGAAGAAAGTAAAAAGAAGAATAAAGATTACATTTGGAGCTCTGCTTTAACTTGTTCTTCTGTATCATCTGAGTGAGTTTGCATCCTAAATGCTATACTGAAGAACAGAATCAATCTTCTCTTAAAAAAAAGAGTTCCTTGTGACCTTGTCATCATTTTGTTGCTTCATTTAGTGTTTTCTGTCTGCAAAGCAAATCCCTCCCCACAGTAATGTATCCAATGCAGTAGGTAGTTTTTACTATTATTTTCAGCGGATCGAAACCAAGCAACAAGTCAATTGCAGCCATTGCTTCAGCAACAAGTCAGTTGCTGAAGAACGGGTAGAATTTTTTTCCATACACATATTTTTACAAGTTCTGCTTTGCAAGCCTTTCATTTATATGCTGGTGGCAGAATGGTAGGAGATATGGACTTCTTGGTGACTAAAGCTGATGCAAGAATTTCTGTCACAAAAAAAATCTGTCTGTAAGGAATCATCACAGCAAACTTGCCACCATCTATAAAATGCTCTTCCTTCAGAGCTGTCCTACTCAGGTTTACTTCTGGATTTAGCGTTATGAGGAAAGTAAACAAGCTTTGGCATTTGTAAAGCAAACTAAACTTTAAATATTACACAAACGAATGCCAAAGAGGAAAGAAAATCCTTATCACCTTAGAAATAAAGAAGAAATAAATTAAGTAGGAAAGCACCAAAGAAATTCCAAGGTAAACCTTGGAAGGTTTCAAAGCAAAAAGGAAAATTGTCTGATATAAAAAAATGTGGATAAGGTCTTTTAAATAGCAAGAGACACTGAGGAAAAAGTGATTTTGAATCATTAGGTTTGTTGCCAATAGGAAAGCAACTACTCTCTCATTTCACAGAGAAGAGAGAGCCCTCAGTGAAGCAACAGTGGATCTTTAGCTTTCTAGCAGAATCGCAGATGAAATGCAATTGTCCATTGGGAAATAAACTTTAACTTTCATAATTCCCAGGATCACATGTGCCAGTAAATCATCCAAGCCTTATGAATTTTACTGGGCCCAGATGACTTTATGTTTGCAAAAAACAGAGAGCATAAAAGGTCCATGAAAAGAAACAAGTCTCCCAACCTTCAGTGGAAACAAAGATTTTACACAGAAAGTCCCACGTGCTGCTCCCCTCCTCACACATAAGAGAGGTCCTTTCCTTATTTAAATCAAAACAAGACCTACATATTGCTTCAGAAGCAGCTATTATTCAGGCAGGTCTTTTGCACAGGGGTGGATTTCATTTCTGACTAATCCACTGTGAGATATGCTTATTAAGCAGGTATTCAATCCTGTTTAATGCAGGGGAAAAGAATGAAGTGCAAACATGCTGTTTGGGTCACTTTTTTAACAAGATGTCACCATCAATGACATGTGTAGCCCAGGAACTCAGAAACAGTAACACCTGTTCATTTTTGCTTCATACTGATGATCTAGCAAGCTTTAGAAAAACATCAATGAACAGTAGGAAGAAAAAGGTGCATATTAAATATTTCTGTTGTTTTATGAGAATGCATAATATCTTTTAAAAAGTACTGCCAAGTTGCAGCCTTTGAAGTTTTTAGGCTAAATTGGAATTGGTTGTTAACGGTACCAGTAAGGATAGCTCACCCGTCTGGAAAAATAAAACCAAAACATGGGATCAACCTCTCCAGGAACAAAGAAAAGTTGCTTTGAAAAGTGGAGTCCATATGCTAGACATAAACTAGTTGCTTCACATATCAGGAAACTGAGAATATAGGCAATGCTATTAAAACGAAAGCATTTGCAGTAGAGAAAAAAAAAACAGTAGGAATGGAAAAAGAATTCACACCAGGTGTGTGAGCTGTTGCCAGTTTGACTATTTTTCTATTCTCACCAAGTATGCAAAACCTGATGTCTCATAAACCTAAAGTTACTAGGAGAAAAGAAAAAGAAATTAAGAAAACCACACCTAGTGGAAACTGTGGTTTGACCTTAAGGGATAGGGAAAGGAAATGCAAGGAAAACTACTCCTGATTAGTAATTTGACAATCCACTACTTAGTTACAAGAAAAAGAAGGTGAAGAAATTTCCTTTACCTGCCCATTCTCCCATCGACCGAAAGAAAGTCTGAGGCACAGCACTCCATGCATGTGGGAAAATGTATTTCATAAATCTGATGCATTTTACCAGAACATAGAAACAGATCAGACCTCCAATAAGAGTGAATAGCTGACGCTGGAATGCTTCCATGGTGAGCAAGTATGAATCAGTCGCTTTCTCCCTGGGAAATGCCTCCTTCCAGTGAGCTGCTAGTCTCCGAACACTGGCAGAGTAGTGAGAAGTCTAATCTAATCACGTGATTTTGCTCTTCAACAGAATGTCCAGGGTTTAGATTAGAAAAACATCTCTATGCTACACCCAAATCTGTAAACTGCTGAAAAAAAATCAAACTAAACAATTTTAAACAAAAGGTTTCACTGCTTTTCTGGAAACTACCCAAGAACAAAAAGAAAAAAATATTTTTATTGTTATTTAGTAATCCTAGAGACTGAAGATGTGTCCAAACCAAAGCCTTGGATAGGAATACTACAAACCTTGGGGATAACAACATCAGCACTACTTTTTACAACAAAGAGTTAAACTCTAGCCCAGCCATTTACAGGGCAAGTTCACACTGAAACCAGAAGAACAGATTTATCTACAAATTCAAAAACAAAGTAATAAAAGGTTACACAAGTTAACTAACCCCTTCCATACACAGAAAGCAGTATTACAAAACTTTTCACAGAGCCTTCTGAAAAGAGCTTGATAGCATTACACCCATTTTACAAATTGTGTAATTATGGCATGAACAAGTACTGTAATCTATTAACACAGGAATAGGACTTTCAGCTTTTCTGAACAAACCATGTCTGAAAAGGTATTAAAATTGAGGACATGTATCAAAACCTTAAGGGGGAAAAATGCTCACAGGAACAGTATCTCACTGCACAACTGAGACAAAATCAATGAAATTCAGACTTCAAAGTGGTCGAAAAGGTTTTAAAATTTAACATAAGGAATTTCGCAGGGAAGGCACAGAAACAACTTTTACACTTCTTTGTAGTGACAATTTTAAATATTATCCATTTTTCAAAGATCAGTTTATAATGGCCAACAGAAAGACTGACTCTTACATGTGCACTTAGGATGAGGTAAAATAAAATTTGTTTATACACTTTAATGATAGCCTTCCATATTTAACGTGAGTCTTATATAAACCTCTGACATCCAGGAATCTCCAACTGAAGGTCAGTGATAAATGTCACGTCATGTTACTGACACCTTCAGCCAGAAAACCATAACATACATGTGCATTGCAAAGTAAAGATGATGTCTCAGTCACAAGAAATGTAACACTAGATTATTCATAACAGAAAAATAAAAAAAATCATTACTGTCTTAACAATAATTCAATTTCCTCACATAATCTCTCTTATAACTTCGTCTGTTTTAACCCGTAAGTAAGGCCGCTCAAATCAAAAAAGCACTGAAAATTATCTTTGAAAAAGATATTTACAGTCACGAATTCCCCACAGAATCATTCGCTATTCAAGGAATACTTTGAACAAGTTTCACTGTTTTTCATGTGCAACAATGAAGCTGAATACCTCACCTGAATGGGGTAAGGGGGAAAAATCACTTCTGTTTGATGATGGGAGTCAAATTGCAAGTTTCCATACCTGCCAGTCTTCTTTTTTGCACTTCCAGCTCTGCCCATGCTGCCTTGCCATTTTCTTTTCCAGAGGCTGCAGTAAGTCTGAGATACGCCCGCAGTACTTCATAGGACTAATATTCATAAATCAGGCAAAGATACTGAGAGAAAAAATTTTTACAAATGTAAAAGAATTGTTCATCCAGCCTAGTCCAAGATTTTTCTTGAGGTATTGCATCTCTGACTTTCACATCTATCACTGCAAGAGCTTTACACATTGCATAGCAGAAAGCTTCTTTGGGTGATCACCACACTTTTTCTCTCCTAATCTTATTCCATTACAGTTAATCTACTGCCAAGCAATCCCTGTAAAATTAAGAGTATGAACAGATCAATATACCGTACAATATTCCTTTCCAGTCCAGCTAATGTTTTTAAGTTCCGTTTTATGTTCCCTTGTAATTACACAATGCAACTGGCTCCTGAAAATCAAGTTTTGTAGCCAGCAGCACGTAACCACAAAACACTTCTGTAAAGGAATGTGACATTGAATTGCTGAGGTGAACAGCTCGAGAGAGGGCACATCCAGCACCGGAGCGGGGGGGGAGATCAGCGTCCAGGAGCCTCAACTCAGAGCGACAAGAGCCACCGAGGGAGCCTCAAGTCCTCGACAGGACCTGCCCAGGAGCCGGCAGCTCAGCTGACGCCAGCAGGGACTCACAGCGGGCGGAGCCTGGAGCAGCGGCACCAGCCCTGAGTGGGTAAAAACCTGCCCCGAACAGAGCAGGTCGAGGCGGTTCGCGCGGGCAGGCGAATGGGGTGGTGAGCACTCGGCGTGTGAGCAGGGCCCGGTCCGGGAGCTCTGCTCTGGCTGCCCCGGCGGTGGCCAGCGTAGGCACCCAGACAGAGCCGATGAGAGGGGAGGCTGCAGTGCCGAGCTCGGGGTGCAGAGAGTGCCTGCACTGGTCTGGTGAGGGGAGGGTGCACAATGGGCAGGGCTGCACTCGGTGCTCCCTGGTGGAGGTGCTCCTGCAGCAGGGGCTGAGCTGCGGGATGCTGTTAATAGGCTGTGAGATGTCAGGGAAGCTGAGAGGAAGCAGGAATGCTTGCTTCCGGCCCAAACTGTGCAGGGGCCTCGAGCTTCACCTCTGCCTCATGAAGGAAAGAAGGAGGCCGTTAACCCGGGAAGCTGGGAATTAGTGACAAAAAAAAAAACAAACAAAAAAACAAAAAAAAGGAGGAAAAGGACAACCAAAAGCGAGGGGCTTCCCCCTAAATCCCCGGTCCCCGGGCAGAGCCGCTTTGCTGTCCTGCAGGGGACTAATGAGGAAACGCACTCGAGCCAGAAACAGCCGGCTGGTGCACTGGTAAAGAAGATCTCTACTGGTGCGGCTAGGAAAAAGCGGCGGGTCGTAGTAGTAGGGGACTCTGCTTTGAAAGGGACAGAAGCACCCGTCTGCCGGCCTGACCCAGTCCCAAAGAAGGTGTGTTGCCTACCGGGGGCATGGATCAGGGATGTGGCAGAGAGGCTGCCTGCTCTAGTAAGTCCCACAGACTATAACCCACTCCTGGTGATACATGTGGGTGCTAGGAATATAGATAGTAGTAGCCTGGGGAACATAAAGGACTACAGAGCCCTGGGGGACGTGGTTAGGGGCTCTGGAGCTCAGACTGTCTTTTCATCAATTCTCCAGGATACAGGGGAGGACCTAAAAAAAGCTAGGAGGATTGGCCAGGTTAATAAATGGTTAAAAGGGTGGTGTCATAGTCAGGGGTCTGGGTGTCTTGAACACGGGACTCAAGTTTGTAGGCCAGGTCTACTGGGGGCTGGTGGAGGTGGAGCGGTTTTGGTAGGAGGATTGCCAGACTGGTCAAGGATGCTTTAAACTAAGTGTGTTGGAGGAGGGGGGCATCATTCCATCCCAACACACCTAGTCAGTTGCCAGCACCTATAATAAATGCTCGGAGCAATGTAGAGATATTCCAGCCACTCCAGCCAATGAGCCGGCTTCAGTTGGAGGTCGGCTCAGATGCCTCTATACAAATGCCCGTAGCATGGGGAACAAACAAGAGGAATTAGAGATGTGTGCACATCTACGGAGGTATGATACACATCTATGGAGGCATTGCAGAAACATGGTGGGATGGCTCCTATGACTGGAGTGTTGGAATGGAAGGTTACAGGCTCTTTAGAAAAGACAGGCATGGCAGGTGGGGAGGGGGAGTTGCCCTTTGTGTTAGGGATAGGCTGGAGAGTATGCAACTCTGTCTGGGGACAGGGGAGCTGTCCACAGAGAGTTTGTGGGTCAGGCTTAAAGGGAATATAGCTATGGGAGACATTACTGTGGAGATCTGTTACAGACCACCTGATCAAGGAGAACCTGCGGATGAAGCACTCCATAGACAGATAGGAAAAGCCTCACCCTTGCCGGCCCTTGTCCTCATGGGTGACTTCAACCACCCTGACATCTGTTGGAAGGACGGTACGGCCCGGCACAAGCAATCCAGGAGGTTCCTCGATTGTGTGGAAGACAACTTGAGGAGCCGACAAGGAGAGGTGCCATGCTTGACCTCGTGCTCACCAACAGGGAAGGGCTCATTGGAAATGTGACTCTCCAGGGCAGCCTTGGATGCAGCGATCATGAGATGGTTGAATTTGAGATCCTCAGGACAGTGAGAAGAGCGTGCAGCAAGCTCACTGCCCTGGACTTCAAGAGAGCAGACTTTGGCCTCTCCAGGAACCTGCTTCGAAAGGTTCTATGGGATACAGCCCTAGAGGGCAGGGGGGCCCAAGATTCTTGGTTGATATTCAAGAATCACCTGCTACAAGCTCAGGAGTGTTGCATCCCAACGAGAAGGAAGTGCAGCAGGAGGGCCAGGAGACCTCCTTGGATGGATAAGGAGCTCCTGAGGAAAATTCAAATGAAAAAGGAGGCTTCTAATAAGTGGAAGCAAGGACAGGCAGCCTGGGAAGAATACAGGGATGTTGTCCGGGAAGCTAGGGACCAGGTTAGGAAAGCTAAGGTCCAGTTAGAATTAAACTTAGCTAGGGATGTTAAGGGTAACAGGAAGGGATTCTACAGGCACATAGCAAATAAAAAACAGACAAGGGAGAACGTAGACCCTGTCCGGAAGCTCTCGGGAGAACTGGCTACACAGGATTTGGAGAAGGCTGAGGTTCTGAATGACTTCTTTGCCTCGGTCTTCACTGCCAAAGGCTCTGACCAAACCACCCAAGTCTTGGAAGGCAGACACAGGGACTGTGAGAATGAAGACCTTGGGCCCACTGTAGGAGAGGATCTGGTTCGAGACCATCTTAAAAATCTGAACATGCACAAGCCCATGGGTCCTGATGAAATCCATCCGTGGGTCCTGAAGGAGCTGGCGAATGAAGTTGCTAAGCCGCGGGCTATCATATTTCAGAAATCATGGCAGTCAGATGAAGTTCCCAACGACTGGAAAAAAGGAAATATAACCCATTTTCAGGAAGGGGAAAATGGATGACCCAGGGAATTACAGACCAGTCAGTCTCACCTCTGTGGCTGGTAAAATCTTGGAGCAGATTCTCCTGGAAGGCATGCTAAGGCACATGAAAAACAACAAGGTGCTTGGTGACAGCCAGCATGGCTTCACTAAGGGGAAATCCTGCCTGACCAATTTGGTGGCCTTCTATGACGGGGCTACAGAACTGATGGACAGGGGTAGAGCAGTTGATGTCATCTACCTGGACTTGTGTAAAGTGTTCGACACTGTCCCACACAGCATCCTTGTCTCTAAACTGGAGAGACATCAATTTGATGGATGGACCCCTCCGTGGATAAAGAACTGGCTGGATGGCTGCACGCACAGAGTTGTGGTCAATGGCTCAATGTCCAGCTGGAGACCAGTAACGAGTGGTGTCCCTCAGGGATTGGTGTTAGGACCGGTCTTGTTTAACATCGTCGTCGCTGACAAGGGCAGTGGGATTGAGTGCGCCCTCAGCAAGTTTGCCGATGACACCAAGCTGTGTGGTTCGGTTGATACCCTGGAGGGAAGGAATGCCATCCAGAGGGACCTGGGCCTCCTGCTGCACTTCCTTCTAGTCAGGACACAACACTCCTGAGCTTGTAGCAGGTGATCCTTGAATATCAGCAAGCATTCTTGGCCCCCCCTGCCCTCTAGAGCTATATCCCATGGGACCTTACTAAGCAGGTTCCTGAAGAGGCCAAAGTCTGCTCTCTTGAAGTCCAGGCAGTGAGCTTGCTGCATGCTTTTCTCACTGTCCTGAGGATCTCAAACTCAACCATCTCATGATCACTGCAACCAAGGCTGCCCTGGAGCATCACATTTCCAACCAGTCCCTCCCTGTTGGTGAGCACGATGTCAAGCATGGCACCTCTCCTTGTTGCCTCCTCTGTTACTTGCAGAAGGAAGTTGTCTTCCACACAATCAAGGAACCTCCTGGACTGCTTGTGCCAGGCTATACTGTCCCTCCCACAGATATCAGGATGGTTGAAATCCCCCATGAGAACAAGGGCTTGTGAGCCCTTGCCCTAACTTTCTCTAGAGAGCTTCATCCACATAGTCCTCCTGATGGGTCAGCCTGTAGAAGATTTCTCAAAACTAGCCCACTTACTAATTCTTTTAAATATGTATTCTGAAGACTGACAATGTTTCTAACTGCTTCTACCATTTTCCCAAAAGAAAGAAAATGAAATTTCACACAGCAATTAAGTAATCTAGTTTTACAAATGGTTTAATATTTCATTAAGCTAATATGAAATCTATAGAAAAGGTTTACATACAGATGTATCCTACGAGAAATAAATTTTAAATTACTACCTTGTTAACTGAAAGACACAATCACTGAGGTTCTGAATGAAAAGCCATTCCCTTAATTGCGTGAATTCTAATATGATATTTGAGCCTGGTTGATCTCATATTCCCAGAGTTTCACCCAGAATTTTACTGGAATCAACACTAACTCTGCATATCCATCCACACAAAAAAAATGAAAAACTTGTTGAAACTGTGATCTGCATCTCTTTATTTATAAAAGGTACAGTAAAATACTAATTAAATGCATACAATAGCTGTTCCTTTGTGGAAACTACATCTTATTTAGCAGGTGTAACTGTGTGCCCTTCAGTATTGCAATGGCTCTCACCATGTTTTTGTAATTAATAGAAACCTTCCAATGCCTTGTACCACTGCAGAGAGTTGAGGTTCAATAACTAGGATTCTGGAGGTAGAGACAATCTGGAAAAAAAGAAGTCCTATAAAGGAATACACTCTAAAATATATGCAGCAACCCTTTCCCTCCCCACTTCTTCAATAAGTAGAAAATTAAAGTCACATCTCTTAGCCAGCTGTAAGAAACTGGATAGCCCAGGCTTCTGTTTCCACTTTGACTGTGCCCTTAAATTCCAGTTCTAGTATCTGCAACCACTGCTCCTCTTGCCATTCAACTCCACACAGCAGTGGGCAGCCCAATCACTCCCTAAAGGTGCTGGTGTGAGCTACTTCCATGTTTCTTAGATCTGGTCATTCACATGTTGGTCACAAAGTAACGCATTTCAGATTTAGCTATATTTTAATTCAAACACCGATAAAACAAGTCATTAGACAATCCTAACTCCATGTCAAGGTCTTCCAAAATCTTCTTTTGATTTGATTATTTTAAAAAAATCTTGGCTTATGCTTGCAGGGAATTGAGAACTTCAACAAGATTAATTACTCTGCTGTCTTCTAAAGCTGCAATATTTCTATTCTGTTTTCAAAGATTAACGCTATATCCTCAGAGACACCGGTAAGCATTATCAATTGTATTTTCAGAGAAGGAAATAAAGATACAGAGCAGTGCCATTATTGTCCCAGATGACTACCACATTCTGGGCCTTTTTTTTTTAACCCCTGGGCCAGCACTAAACAAAAATATTTACCTTTGTTATCTCTCCTAATCACCTGTTTGATACTGGCTCAAACACACAAAAATATTTTTAAACATTAAAAAATCCTTGCTCAATTTCCTACTCTCCTTGATCCTGCAAAGTTATGAGGGTTCACTTGTAACAACAGTGCCAATTCAGAGAACATCATGATGTTATTGAGGATGAAGAAAGGACTGAGAAAGAATGTCTACACAATGTATACTGAACACACCAGGCAGTATCCTGAATTCTTTAGCTGACACACAGGAAACAACCTAAGAGCACATCTCCTCTTTACCCCATACGTTCTACATCACTTACACAAGAGCAAATGCATACATGAAATCATTCTGAATCACTGGCATCTTTCACCTCTTCACCGGTATCAAAATTGTTTATGTTGTAAAGCAATGGTGAATCAAGCCTCATGATCTTTACAGGGAGCTTTGCCTCAGAGAGTAATGACAGACACTGAGACAGATCTCACAGATCTTTCCGAGTACAAATAGTATCGAAGTACGGTAAATGAAAAAATTTACAACTTCAGATTTTCTCATGGCATTCCTTCTTATAAATTAGCTTGTGATGTAAAAAAAAAAGCTAAAATTAAACTTGTCCACATGTACAACACATGGTGTGCAAGGTATTTCTGAACCAATGAATTGTGTGCACATCTCTGCCAACTGAGGTAGATTTTTTTCCTTGTTCTAAATATATTCCAGCATATACTTATTAAGTTCTCAGCAATGGTAAACAAACTGGTATCTTCAGTCTCTTTCAAGGTGGGCATTTTGGCTAACTATTTGATTCAGAAAGTGCATTCTCTTCATCCCCAGGTTGCGTAGGCTTGCTGTTTCCTCTTAAAGTTAAAAATGAGTATCTCAGTCCTCCTGCCATACTAAAGAAAAGAGAACAAAGGTGTCAGAGATACTTGGTGTTGTATATGCCATTCTATAAATATATACCCTTCCTTCCAGAAATTAAAGAATATGAACTAGCATAAATTAGGAGTGCCTCAGACCACGTAAGCCATCTGAGAAGCCAGCCCTGAGCTGACAAAGATCAATTATTTGTTTCTCAAACAGATTCAAACAAACAGATGTAATGGTTCATCCAAACACAGTTGTTACAGAAAGTAACAACTCACAAGTTATAACTCATATTCAATGGGCCCAGCTCATTGAGTGGGTGCTCTCACTTCTCACACCACTTGGCTTTTACTTGGAAGCCTCACAGCTCAGAACTGTTGCTCATAAAAAAACAGGCATATTTCCATAGTTAAGTTCCTACCACAGTAAGATTCAACACCTGAAAACAGACATGAAAAGACAACTAATTGTAATGAACTTTATATCCTGAGGCAGTGCTTCTTCAGGTTGGTAGTTTCAAAACTGCTTCACCTAAGTGGGCCAAACGAAACAAAATATAAAAATGCATCTCACTAACAAATTTTCCACTTTATAACAAATAAAGGTTATTCCAAGTTCCACTCACCAAATATTTAGCCCTATGAAGTTTAACATGGAGAATATGTAATCGCCACCAATCAACATTCCAATGTAAGCAATGGATATATTCTGAAAGGAAACAAAGACATTGCATTTATTCAAGTCAGTTTTCATCTCCAAGAATATAAATGGTAACAATTAATGTCTTTTCTAAGGAAATAGCTATATTCTGTTGCTGGCCACTTTAAAATCAGCATTTAAACTATATTCATGGGGTAACAGTCTTATGGGTATTGTCACAGTGAAATAAAATAATAAAAGCAGTATGTTTACTAAATGCACATAATACACCGAGAGTGACTCTCTGGGAATAAAAACAAAAACAAACCAAAAACCAAGAAAGAAAACAGAAAATCAGCTATTTGATATTAAGCAAAACAGAGCATGGCCACCTTCTGAAAATGTACTTTTTATCTTTGGAAAGCTCCTTTCAAATCCCATTTCTTAAAAGTAGGTTTTGGGTTCTCAAGCATAAAAAATATGTTTCAAAGCTTTTTATTATTGCTTTGAAATTGTTACCTCCTTACTTTGCCAACTAAATGTGTGTTGAAAGCACTTGGCTCAAGTTCAAGGAAGGCACAGTTAGAAGATTCTGCCTCTCAGCTCTCCCCCATCTAGTCTTGGGAAAATTGTCCCCCATAGACAGAAGGAAAGCTATAGAACTGCGTGATCATTTTACCAACACTGTGCTGGTTTCACATTGTCCAGCTAGTCTGGACAATGACATAATTTCTATGAGTTTCTGCTGGGGACTACAGCATCATAAAGTGCTTCTCACCTTTAAAACTGTTTAAAATGCCTCAAAGGCTATTGTTTCTCAGAAAACAGAAAAATAGTGTTGATCCATCTTAATGGTTCAATGCACATATAAAATTTAAAAGCACACTTCCAGGGCCACAGAATGAAAACTACTAGATTGATTAATCCTGCCAGCTTCAAAAAACAAACACGTAGCAAGCAATCAAAAAACTAAACAAAAAGAAAAAACACAACACCAAAACCAACACCAAGCTGTAGAAGAAGTACCATCTTCCTCTTGTGGATTTTGCTATGCTGGTGGAATTGTATTCCTTAGTCAAGGAATACAGGGAGCACCTTGAGGACTGTTATTCTTGCGCCTAATTCCTAGGATTCTGATAACTGTTTGACCCACAACTGCATGAGTTTTGTCTTTTGCTAAAACTCTTCCAGCTCCATTCTTCTCCTTAAACCGGCCAAAAAAAGGTGCTTGGATAGTCAGTGACTTTCCCTGCTCTGACATGCTGGCCTCATCAACATAAAGGAAGCTGCACTTGTTTAAAATTAAACTGGATTAGAGAAAACAGACTGCAAGGACACCAAGTTCAGTTTTTAAGATATGCATGTTTTGGTGGTGATCAAATTGACCGGAAACCAAAATTAAATCCTCCATTCAGCTAGAATACAAGTTCTCACACGGAGGGTGAAGCAGTTAACCATAAAGCAATACACTCGTTACCACAGTTTAGCCATTATTCTATGTGAATGCCCTATGTATTAGCTGCAACAAAATCAGTTCAGCCCAAAGTGAAAGTGGGTTAGTCTGTATCAGTTTGCACTGGAGTTGCATCAGGCCACCTTGACCTTGAGAGTAACCTGATACAGAACAGAAGCAGGTGACAGTACCTAATGAAATGTGGTTAGATTTACAACTTTCAATAGAAGTGGTTCAAGTTTCTCTTGTAGGAAAACTAAAAATACATTGATACATGGCTTTCTAGATATACTTGAGCTTCAGTGGAATAGAATGAAGTCACTTTGTGATGTGACCATGTCTGGCGCAAGCAATGTCTTAGAGTTAGCCCTCATTTTGAGTTTCCAGCTCAAAGCATAACCAGGATCACTACTGAGTCAATGCTCTTCCCTGTTTATTTGAGCATTCCTGGCTTCCTCTTCTGCCTCATAACTCACCTTGATGGCACCAACTACTGTCGTCGTGAGCGCAGAATTGTAATGACTGCATAGGACAGTAGAATACATCAAGAGAAACCTAAATCAGGTAAAACAGAAAGTTTTATAAATTCCTCCCAGAGACCTCAGAAGTTTAGCAACACTTTTGAAATTTTCGGATTGGTATTTTGCTGGGATCTTCAATCCCACCTGTTCCAAACCCTAAAAAAAAATAATTCTGTGGATCTGTATTTTAAGATAATGATGTACTATAAATACACATTAAATTTAAGCTGCTTTAGCTCTAGCAGAGCCAACCCTATTCTTTGTGCTTCTTATATGTCAGTATTTGAAGTTAGTTTGACCCACTGGTTGGTGATACATGAAGGAGCAGAACAGAAACCAACTCTTTTTCTATTCTTCCTCTGACTCAGCAGTTCCAACAGGAGCAAAGCATAGTTTCATTACTTTTGCTTTTCCGGGTACTTTAAAAAACACACTGCAACAGTTCCTATACACTAAAAGGCTTACATTCTATTAACTGCAAAGAAGAAAATCGGAAGAGACAGCCAGCAGAGATCCTGAGTACAGAAAATAAAAAGCTGAATGTTGTGATTTTGATCACTGTACTGTGATGTCAACACCACAGAGAGTAGTGATACTGTTATTTGCATTTTTAGAACTAACTAAAAGACAAGTCAGAAGCCCAGGGGGGGGAATAAATTTTCTTTAAATTTTAACATAACTTACTGGTGAGTCTTACATTTGAGATCTGCAATTTGAAACACTGTCACTAAAACACCTTACTTGATTGTGTTCTTACCCCAAAAAGCAGGAAAGAATAAATTGAAAGACAAACAAAAAATTTGTCCAGTGCTGGAAATGTGTTGCCTATTAAAAAAAAAAAAAAAAGAAAAAAAAGAGAGAATTACGTACTATATAATCAAAACTGAAAATAGATATAAAATGTAGTTAATATGAAAATGTGCAATCACAAAATGCATTTGATTCATATTATAATTACAAAACATTCATATACTACTGAAAACAGTTTAAGGAATTTAAATTCAGAAACAGGATGATGGCACACATGATGCCTAGACACACTCCTGTATCATGTATAACAGTGCACACATAAAACTGCACACTGCAAGCAATAAATAAAAATACAATACAGAGAATTTGTGATTTTATATTTATTGATAGTTAACAACAATTAATATTGTATAATCGATAGGGATATTTATAGATAAAACAGATATTCTGCAGGGAGCAAAAACAAATAAATAAATAACCTCCTTGAAATCTGTTTCATAGATTCTTAGAATCACAGAATAGTTAGTGTTAGAAAGGACACTAGACCACATCATCCAAGGCTCTGTCCAGTTTGGCCTTGAACACTGGCAGGGATGGAGCATTCACCACTTCTTTGGGCAACCAGTTCTAGTGCCTCACCACCCTCACTTCCTTATATCTAACCTGAACGTCCTCTGTTTAAGTTTGAACCCATTATTTTCTGTATTCCTAGTCAGCCAGGAGGAAAAGTGAATACTGGGACACTCACAGACTGCAGTCTCTAAAGACATAGTAACTACTATTCCAGAACTAGCGAGAGAAGCAGAAGCAATCTCCCTGTCACATAGACATGGTATTGATATTTTGACTGGCAAAAGATACATGCTGTGCATTGTCTGTGATAGATCAAGGTAAAAGGCTCTGCTAGGGTAAAAGCAAGCCAACTTCTATGGCCTGAAAATCTGCTGAATACAGATGTTATCTGCAATGATTTGTTGATTTTTCACCAGTATTTTTCCATTTTCTCCATTTTTTCAGAGATTTAATCTCTTTGCATCACATAGACACTGGTTATCCTTATCATTTAATGGCACTTTTAATATTAAGTGAGCAAGCCAATGTGTATGTGCAATAGGCAATATGCATTTATCTGACATTTATTTATTCTTTTCAGGTAATTGAAGATTAAATTGTTTGTGCCAAATCAACAACTCCTTATTTTTCCCATGGAATAAACCTAGCAGCAAGGTAAATTTCTTTGTCCAGTTCTCCTAAAATGCCTCCAGCATGACTGCTGGGAAAGCAGTGGAAACCTTACAGTCAAACTTGGACCCCAGTACATCTGCCAAGAAAGGCATCAGCTGCATTTTCCTAAACTGGCAAAAGGTCATGCTGGACTGACATCATAAGAAGAGACTTCATATTCAGAGCAGATCTAAATCCATCATTTTCATGGAATGACAATTTTTCCACATAAAACAGACTTCTAAGAACACAACGACAAAATCATGTGAATTCAGGGCACAACACAGGACACTGCAACGATTTATGAGACCCTCAAGCTTTGTAACATTTTTTATTGGCGAATCTCAAACATTTCCAAAAAGTAATATGAGTAATACTCATTTTACTGGTAAGAATAAGTCAACTCAGTAAGTCTGCAAGGGAGACAAAAAGCCACAAACCTCTTGGTCCAATACTTTATGTGCCAGGATATTCTGCCTAAGGTGTTATTAGCTATGGAGAGTCACACTGTCATTCCATAAGAATGCTACGTATAGGTTACTAAACTAGACTGAGACTAAACAGGAATGTGTTCTCTGTATCAGAATGACAGACTGGAAATTGTCTGGTTTGGGTATCTGCAATCTTATTTTATAGCATGTGGCAAATCACACATCGCAAGAGTTATCACAAATGCAGCTTCTCCTTAGAGTGAATAATTAAAAGTTCTTACCTATGTAGGGCAAGCCGAAGTCACATATTTCAAATACTAGTCGCTAATATGGAGGTAGGATTACCTCTTTAAAAACAAACAAAAATTGCTACCAACCTCCCCCTCCTTTTGAAAACAAACAAAAAAAAAACCACCAAAAAATCACCTTGAACAAAACACCGTTAGCAGTCTGAGATATGCAGTATTGCTCCTTACCTGCTGAAAGTCTCCAGTAGAAAAGCTAATAATAACTGTTGGAATCACCATGAAACAAGCATTATAGAAAAGGACACCATATTTCCCCAGCTCCTGTGGAAAATGAAACATGGTGTTTGCAATTACAAGCCAACTGGGAACAAAACTAAATATTACTCTGGTAATCTATTGTTAATGAGCAGGTAAAACATAGTACATTTCAATTTCAAATACAAGCTTGTGACCCTTGGATTCAGTGTTTAGTACTGAGCTGGGTCTCCATTTCAGTCACTTTGCCTGTATGCTCAGGAGAGTATTACTGCTCTGTTATATCTTGGACAGCTTCTACAACACCAGCTAGTTAGAAAGTTCCCAAGGCACTGGTCCAGAACTGCTTTGTGTTAGACTCCATGTAAGCCTCTGCATGGCCAAGGGATTACCCCACACCATCTACTGCAAATCAACCACAAAAGCCTAGGGCTGGGTGCCTCCCTATTGCAAGCATAACAAAAATTAACGAAGTCTGACTCCTAGATGGAGCATTTGCAATCACTGGTAACTGATGTACCTTCAAGTAACTTGGGGCATGCCATACATCCTGTTGGTTAACTTGCCTGACAAAAGGCAGAAGATAGGGGAATGAAAAAGCAGCCTTTCCTTCCTCCAAATTCAGTGACGCTACTTAGTAAATCTCTCCAGCTTCTCTCTTGCTTTACAAAGAAACCCCTGTATTCTGCAGAAAGCTATAGGGCTGTTAAGTGCTGCTCACAAAGAAACATGCGGACTCTGGACTATATGTGACTCCTGAGATATATATTTTCACAGACTGAACCACAAAAGTCAGTGACAAAACCTTCATCCCGCATCCTCAGGACTGCTGTTTGCTATGTCTTGGTACATTTTAATGGCATTGCATTTGAAGAGCAGCCTGCTCAATGTTTACGTAAAGTATAATGTATCGAGGTATCACCTAATTCTTTCTTTCTAATATTTGGGTTTGGTAGACTTGCTATTAAATAGCTAAAAAAGATAGCAGTTTTTGCGGTTATTGACTTAAACGGGACAGGTCACTGCTCCTACCCAGAAGATTATTACATAAACCTCACTAAATGTGTGTTTCTATTAAAAAAGTCATCTTCCTTAGAAGTACAGATCAAGTTTACTAATCAAGTAAATCAAGTTTATTAAGCATGCACCCATCAACTGAAATATGAAAGCAATCAAAACTAATTATTAGTTCCTAACTGTATGTTCATAGTCCTATCATAGGCAACCCACTGTAATGATACTGTCATAATATTAAACTCAACCTAATCACCACAGTTACCTTTGGATCAATTTTCTGCTTTGTGTAAACTCCATTTGCTGCCGTAAAGATATCATTCAGCAATACAAAGGTGTAACCCTCCAGATTAAAAGACAGATCAGACCTGGGAAAGAAATATTATATTGTAAATAAAAAAAGAGTATACAATGCATTGCAATTATTTGTTTATTTAAAAAAAACTATCATAAATGAGGAAATGCAAATCCTGACAGCTGCAGCAAGTCACAGGTTGTGCTTCAAGCCCTCTTTGTAAGTCAAAGTACTTTATATTTCTTCAGTCACAAGACCATCATAAATGAGTCATCAGAGAGTTCCCAGTACTCAGCGTGGAAGTGTTAGGAAATGTACAGTTTCATTCTATGAAAAATTCCATCTACTTCAATCCTGACAACTTCTCCAATTATTACTGAGCATACTTACCTATTTCTTTCAACACAAGAAATAACTAGGGAAAAACTACTTGTGTTTTACAGGCAGCCCAGATGTATTGTCACCCTTTCTGTTTTGACTAGTCACCTCACGGATGTAGGGATATTCATTTAATAAGACATGGCTCCCACCCGAGTCACATCACATGGAAATTAGAACACTTGTACACAGCAAAGCCCAGAAACAAAAAAATAACACTACATTTCCAGCTCAGTAAAGGAATATTCACAGAAAGAAAACAAAGGAGACTGGCATAGCAGTACTTTGTAAACTTTATCTAAAATAATAAAAAAAAGACATTGCTTAACTCAAAACAATATTTGACAACAACAATGAAAAAAAAAAAAAATCAGGCTTTCTATCCAGAGCAAAAGAACATTGATACTAGGAAATAAAAGCAGCATTCCTCACACAGTTTTAACTTGCTTTATTTGTGATCCTGTAAAAAAGTAAAACCTAGAGGGGAAAAAAGAAGACCCAAATACTTCCAACTGGAATTAAATTTTTCCCTTTGTATTCCTGCACTTCCAAATGATGTCAGTAGAGAGATTTTTGAAACCAGCTTAATCCAGAGTAATTGATCTTAATTTAGGTTTACTTGTCACAGAAAAAAATCCTCCTCTTTTCTCTCCTTTCATAACAGGACTTCATATAACAAATGGAAACCTTACCCAGCTGCTATGAAAGCTCCAAGAATTATGGCAAATACGCTGACTACAATGCTCAGTGGATATCGTTTCCTGTAGACAAAAATTAAGACAGTTCACAGTTTCATTATTTGAAAAGGAGATTAAATAGCTGGCTGCCTGAAAAGTTCCAAAGCAATTAGTAATCAGAGAACATTTAACACAAGGGCACAGTCATGATAACCTTACAGAAGCAATGTTATTGACCATGAGCCATGCTGTCAGACTTTGGCCCTGAGAACAGAGATTGAAAAAACATTGTGAACATTCTGCTGCTAGATAATTTCAAAAGTAAAGACTAAAGGTTTAAAGTAACAACCCTGGAACAAACTGTAATTTACTGTGTATTTGTATTCATAATGGACATACTACAGTGTCTTTCCAGAATCCAATAATGGAAAATCACGACACATCTCTCATGCAGTTTTTCATCTCACCTTTCTTGGGGAAGGTGCTGTATAGCACACTGTCTGGGCTATTTTTCAAGTAGATACTTGTTTTGAAATTGAACTGAAACCTTGTACTGAAGGGGAAAGCACAGAAGCTTATGACATTCTTCACTATGTAAACAGCAGCACTACTGCAGAGTAGAAAAAGCGTAACAAATAACTATTCTGCTTCTTTTATCTCTACTACTTTATTTAGAAATGTCTTAATACTGCAGTGTGCCTTACAGACATTTGCCTTTGCTAGCCCCAGCTCTGAGCTGGCCTGAGAGAAAAGATCCATCAAAACAAAATGTACAATGCTCTTGCAGAAATCCTGTGTCAAAAATCCTGTGTCAAACGAGCCTAACTGTGGACCACTGTCCCAACAACAAAGTTATATGCTGTCTCTAGATATCTTAGGCTTTGATCATAGTGGCTCTTGACAGTAACAACCCAAATCTTGACTGCTTTTCAAATTCTGAGGTAATCCAGCATGGACTCTTTGGAGTCCTTTCATTTTCAGCTCTGAAGAAATACACTGCGGCAGCCTGTAAGAATATAGTGTTCTGCTCTTAAGCTTCCTTTAGTCTAGGATGTTACTTGCACTCATACACCACATTCCTGTAGTCCAGCTGGGAGCTGATGACAACCTCACTGACTCACATTTTTCTCAGTTCCTCATGTGAGTCCTTAGGCCAACAAGAGAAGACAGCATGTTCTGCTTTTCCTGTAAGAACTTACAACTAGAAAAGAATCCCAGAACATCCCTAAATATGTATCACATTGACCAACTGCTGCTTCAGTCAAAAAGAGATGACAGTCTACCTGGGGCTTTTGAAAAGCTTTTCCCTGATTGCCATTCTCGTGTTGCCTGGGCTCAGCTTCAGCTGATATATTTATATTCATGTTCTTCCAAGTCAGTACAACTGAAACTAGTGATCCCAAGCTGCAATACCATATATGTCTTAATTTCTCATTAAAAATAATGTCCGAGTTATGCTCTGCTTACCTGATTCCTGTGTAGCAGTCAAAAGAATGAGCTGTGTAAATGACAGCTACTTTTCCCCCCATATTCATTAAAATGCATATATCTATGTCTTCAAAAAAGCTACATAAATCCACTTTCTTTGCTTTTCTTTATATGTCAGTAAAAATCAATAATCTGATGAGATGCCACTAGTAATCCATTTTATATGATCTAAAATGACGGTATCTTATATATTAAAAAAAAAAAAAAAAAAAAAAGATCACCCAAGTATGATGATTTCCAGCAGTAAAGTAAGTGGAATGGTAAACTTCCTGAGCACAGTAAACATCGGCAAACTGTCAAAAAAACACATAAAAATTCAAGCATTGCATCAGATTAACGGCATGTTTATGTTCTAATTCTTATTTAAGTTTACTAACCAGAGGATAAAACCATTAGTTTAGCAATAGGCAACCAAAACAAATTTCTAGCCACTTAGCTTATATGAGAAAATGTCAGTCTGACACTAGAGTCGGATTACATAACCAAATTATTGACAAATAACAGGATTTGCCAGTTTGTAAAACAATGCAACTGGCTACCTCCTAAAAGGTCCCTCTGCATCAGTGAAATGGAACATAGAAGCTATTTTCTACCTAGCACACCCCCTACGAAATAATTCCTGGGCAGAGTAAGTAAAAATTATTTCTGTTGTAAACGTAAAGGACACACAATAAACCTGCCTTTGAAAACATGTAACAGAAATAAAATACAAAGAAACCATGCTTAGTAAACAAACTGTGCTTTAAAAAAAAGTAAAATAAATCCACAAGAAAAAAATCACAGAAAGTAGGAAAGGTGGGATCAGCTGCGAGCACCAATAAACAGCTACTTTTGAACAACATACTGTTGTTCTACAAAAAGTCACTGGAAATTTTTCAAAATTTGAGAAAACACTTGCATCTGACACTTTGGAAATCTGACAGCATGGCCATATGGACCAATTAATGCCCTGTTCAAGATAACTTTTAGCAACTGCATTAATAAGTGATACAAATCCCAACATGAAGTATAATCACTTTCCAACAGACATTTTGAAGTTACGCACAGGATCATCTACACCTTAGAGACAACCCAAACGAGGTGAAAAATTCTAAAATGTAAACAAATGTCACATAATTTAACAAAATGATAATGGTAGAAACACTGCAGCCATTCTTACTTTTCTGTTATAAAAATCAGTTATGAAAGTAATTCTAAAATATGTCAGCTACAGGAGGATATGTTACACTTATGTCTAAAATAACTTACTAAACTTTTTTCTTTTACAAATACAGTGAGGAAATGGGAAAGAAGAACCCATGAATCCAACTTTTACAGGATTTTTACCCCTTGCAAAAGAAAAGGGTAAAATCCAAACAGTTTACTTATATCTTCCATTTACTGTACCTGAGTTTGCTGGTACTTGATAATCCACTTATGTGGTTTCCAACATAAATCAGAGGCAGAGGAAACAACTGTGATAAAATTAAAAGCACAACTCAGATTATTATGTTTTAAGCACTGTTAAGAAGCTTTGTTAGAATTTGATAATTGTATTAATATGAGATGTACTTTTAGCAAGAAGAGGTTTTTATTTAAGGAAAAAAGAGAATCAACTGTGCTGCAAACTGATCTGCAGCTCTTGTTCATGTGACCACTCACAACCACAGCTCCACTGGTTTCATTAGGAGAGTTGCAATCTACCTCTAATGAGACAGAGACTCCTCTTAAATGTTAAACGGTTTTATTTGAATTACTTACAATCCTCTGATTAATACCCATCATAACATCTGAATGGTAGGCATAAAGTAGTATTAATAACAGTAGTTAAATAAGAAGGAGAACAGGTGAAATAAAAGACTAAATAAACTTCATACTAAGTAAGCATCCTGTGCTTCTCTATGTACTCCACATTAATATGCCTGGCAGACACACCATTTCAGATCTACCCAACAAATTATGCTATGTAAGATAACAGAATGCAAAAAAAAAAAAAAGTATTTAGGGTAAAATAAACTTTACTTAATCCAGCTTCTATCATAATGAGACTGACTTGCACAGAAACATATAGGCCTTAACACAATACAGAGAAACAGTAAGTGATACTCAAAGCCTTAAGAAAATGTGCAAGGGAGGCATCCCTACACAATACTCAGCTGCAGCTCAAAGCTCTTAATTCTCCCACCACAGAAAAGATGCAGAAGATTAAAACCAACCAAAGTACTCAATGGGGACAAAGGTGGTGTGTACATCTAATCCCACTCACTATTAGTCAAATGGAGCTGAAGCAGGAGAAAGAGGAGTCCTCTATCCTACCACGTAATAGCTGCTGTTGTGCCAATACATGCTCCAGGAGACTGATCAGCAAACTGTGATTGGAGGCTACACCCTCTCATACCATTGTGTGCTGGAAAAGCATACAAAGGAGTAGGCTGCACTTTATCTATGTTAACAATTCTGCATTTCTTTGACAGCAAAGCAGAGAGAAAATTGCAGTAAAAGTTAACTACAGCTAAATAAAGTTAACTTTTAAGTGAAAGCAAAAGTAAACAGGATTATAAACAGGAGTATAAGTAACAATAAATACTCAGCCTGTCAACATACATTTGGAAAAAAATTATAATGTACTATCTTTTCTACAGATTTTTTACAAAAATTTTCTATTTCATTCATAGGATGAAAGCAGAGCTGACATTACATTTGTTCTCCTCTGAAATCCATCTGTTGTAAAGATAAAATTACAACATCAGAGAACAGTGAAACATTTATTTAGAAAGGGTCAAGAACTCCAAAGCTTCATCACTAACAAAAAAGCACCTTGCTAATTTAAAAACTCCAACTGAAAGAACTGAGCTCATAAACCAGTCCTGGAATGAAAAGCAATGATAATCTTAGTGTCAATGAAAGCAAAAGTTGTCAAAAGGATGAAGAGTCAGTCAGAAGAGGCTTTAAAAAGTAAAGAAATCAACAATGAGTAAACCATCTGATTAACTGTGACTAGTCTAATCCAGGACTACAGGCAATATATGTCCTAGGTGCTGCAGTGCTGACTGCTCCCAGCATATCCAGGGAAGTATTGCAAAGGATAGATATTATTAAAACAAAGAAAATGGTTGCTGTATTTTTTTCAGTGAATTTATACTAACGCTAAAATAAAGCCAACAGCAAAGAAAGGGCATAGTATAGTGTAACAGCGGGAGGTGGAGGGAAGATGCTTCTCGACATCGTTCAAATGCAGAACTCAAAACTACCCACTTGGAAACCTTCTTCTTTCCTATTTTGGAATAAACAAGGATTGTCCATTTTATAATTTGCCAATAATTTCAGTCTGCATTACGAAGAAACAGCATTCACAAAAGGCTGCAAGACATTCATAGTAAACCTCATACTGATAGTACAAGATTCTGCAGTGAAGATGCTGGCCTGAAAAGCTATGATATCTGAGCCCTGCAGCAGAGCTGGGAGCTAACTCTGTCTGTACCTCTGAGCAAACACTGACCAATAAACTGCAACAAAAAAAAATAAATGCACAGGCTTATGCATCAAAGTAAAGCTCCAGCAATATTGCACATAGACACAAAAGCCTACAAGGATCATTGCTGTAGTAATTTCAGCTTCCAGTCTGAGATAATAAAAGATCCTCTCATATCTTCTCTGTCCTGCCTCTTCAGACCATGTACACTTTAGGTAGGAGCTATGCCCTGACTACAATATTTTCAGTGAGCATTATTTTAGTCACTCCTGTGGAACATAAATCTTACATTTGGAGTCAACTGCTGTTCAGGTTTTTGGTCTACCACATATTCTTTTTCTATTGTTTTATCACATGTCCCATTCAAATTTCCAAGCAGCCTTCTCTCTTCCTACTGTGATCAAATTTTTTTCTGAAACACAGATCTCCCATTGATCCTAGAGGGAACTCTATATATCCAGAAAAATACTTCAGGAATCTGAAAGATTTCATCAGCTATATGAAGGTACAGCACCTTTTCCCATGTACTACGTGCCAAAATGCCACCAGATTTCTTTGCAAACAAAAGGCGTGAATATTGCAGTGAAATTAACATGGTCAAACCTAATATTAAATGAAACAAAAATATAAATAATCACACTTGACAAACAATGCAATTTTTATCTGTTGTTCTTTTCTATCTTGTCTCCATAAGACAGAATGCCAGTATAAGAGGTAAGATTTTATTATTAATATCAGAACCTATGCAACCCTTACCTTTAGAGGTATACTTTTGTCAAAATCAGGGAAGTGAACAATCTTATTTATTTTTGACACATACAAGATAAGTATAGTGGCTGCCATCTAAACAAAGAGAAAAAACAAGAAGTCATGTAAGAGCAAAACTGTCATGTACAAATGAAAGAACTGCTTCAAAAACAAAATCTTTACATGCATTTGACAAATGCTAGGTATTATGCATTTCTGTTAAAGAATAATACAGAATGCAATTAATAAATTGGAATAGCTTTATTCCTATGAATTTGGCCAGTTATATATTTAAAAGTATAATATAGACATATGCTTTACTAGCTTGAGAAAATTAGCGGCCCTCTGTAAAACAATGCATGCTGAGAAGGAGCTGAGAAATTAAACAGGACAGGATCCCAGAGTAGTGATGCTATTTTCACAGAGTGCTGATTAGTCTGAGGAAACACTCCTACATTTTTTTTTGTAATCTGAGGCAGGGGTTGCACATTGATCAGTCTGTTGACAACATGAGGAAGAAACAATAAAGAGATGGACATGATGAAGGAGAATATCAGAGCAATCACACATCATAACTTGATGCTTGCCCCAGGGATGAAAAAAAAATTAACATTTTTCTTATTAAAAAATACAATAATAGACCATCTAGAGGATGGGGTGGAATCACACTCTGCAGACTAAAGCATTATACCATATTATATGCACTTTACAAAATATTCAGGGAAGTCTTGGAAGGATCAGACAACAAAAAAATGGAAATGCTACTAAGTCTTAAGTTTTGCAATGAAACAAAGCCATATCATTGCCCTTAACATGAATTATTGCCACATTTTACATTCTTTGGCTTCCACTGAAACATCATCTGGGCGGTTCCTTGAGCAGATGTGTGAAACTCTGCCTCACCCTCTCACACTGTCAAGACTTTACAAGATATTTTAATTTTACTTCAGCACCAAGCAGCGGAGATGTCAGACTTGCAGTACCTTGTTTTCACCTCTTTCTCATTAACCCTTGGCTTGCAACCTTAGCAGAAAGTAAATCCTCTGTTTTAAATGTATTTGCCTAAATCACACCTGCTTCGAAGCTCCATCTTTCCCAGCCATACCTCTGCAGTCATACATTTGAACTTGGTTTTACAATGATGCCTACTAACAACAAAAAGAATAAAGAATAAAGAATAAAGAATAAAGAATAAAGAGAAAAGAAAAGAAAAGAAAAGAAAAGAAAAGAAAAGAAAAGAAAAGAAAAGAAAAGAAAAGAAAAGAAAAGAAAAGAAAAGAAAAGAAAAGAAAAGAAAAGAAAAGAAAAGAAAAGAAAAGAAAAGAAAAGAAAACTTCCCAGGCAGTAGTTTTGACTTGAAACTTCCTTGATCTCACTAAAACAAATCACTCTTCCTTACATCTAATCCATCTAATTCAGAAGACAAGCAGTGCAGTATAACTGAGATTCCCACCCCTTATGCTCATTCCCCCCATACTAACATTAGTTTAATTTACAAAATAATAAGTACATTTAGTATGCTTTACTTGTGAACATACCTGTCCAATGCCAAGAAACACTGGTGATGGGAAGCTGAAAAACATAAACAGATATTTAATTCTGAGAAAAAAAAAAATTAAATTTAGCACCAAAGCCAACAACTGGACGTGTGGATTCTGGCCTGTCCTTCAGAAGAGTTCAGGAACTGCTACCCTTATTGGAGGCCTAACATTTTATTTCTGCTGCAGCAAAACACAAGCTGCATCCACATAATATAGCATATGCACAGTTGATCAATTCTAAATTACTAATTATTTTGGTGATATTTGTAAGTGATGGTAACAACACATTTGGAGAACTCTAACAAGGCACTATTTTTTGAGTGACCTCACATATGCATTGTACCCTGAGATGGTATAGTAACTTAAGTCTCTTCCACTCGCCCTAACTTCGAAGCTTATGTCCACAGCCCAAACATACTAAGAGTGCGGTTTTGTGAAAATACAGGTACCTAGGTAAATGTAGAAACACTTATTGTCTGCTAAACCAGCTAAATTCTTGCCATACCCCCTCAGTTATCTTTATTGGAAAGCATGGATACTTACATATTAAGAAAGCAGAAACTTTAGCTGGAATCCTGAAAAGCCTGAGTGCTTCCATTTTACCCCCTAAATTGACATAAAGTTAAAACCAATCAATGCATGGCACTAACCGTTAACTCTCTGTATGCACACTGAAACACAAGTAAAGAAGTTATTTATGAATGACGTCTGGTTTTTGTCATAACCAGGACTAGCAGGAGCCTCTCTGCCCAAAAATCTTGGGTATCAAGGAGCTCCCTGACCATGACAGCTTCTGCTGCCTCCCTGGAGTCATTCAGCATCTTGCTGGACTGCACCATCAGGAATGTTTGCACAGAAACCTGTATCCAGGAAGTCTAAATAAAACCCATTTCATTCTCTGTGCACATCTGCACTAAAAAATGCCTGAGGAGGATTCACATTCACAGCAAGTGTTGTGATTTTTCACTATCAAGGCTCCTTAAGATTGTGGGTATTTATCACAGAAGGCACCGAGAACTGTGACACTACTGCCTGGTGTGCTGAGAAATGTAAATCTCAAATGAGCACCAATGGGACAGGAACATAGTATTAGCAAAAGGAAGAAATGCTCCGAAATACAGCAGAAGGGCTACAATGACATGGGAGTTGGAACACTGAAAAAAGACTCAGGAGCGGCCAGTAGCAAAATTGATTATAGGAAACAGAGGTACTAGGGGGAAGGAGAAAAAAATAAATAAATAAAATAAGCAGAAGAAACAGGACTTCCATTTATAGTCTTGTGACTCCTAAACTGGCTTGTACATACAGCTACACCATATAAATATGGAGACTTCTGTACAATGTAGATTTCTCCAGGAATTTTTTATTTGAAGAGCCCTAAACAATCCCAGCTGTAAGGTATGTATACAAAACTTTGGCTTACTGATGGGCCTGCTGTCCTTCATTACCTTTCACGGATGTGCTAGACCTATGTCAGGGACTTACTGCAGATTGTATGATGAAAACCACTATAAAACAAAATCTCAACTTGCCTTGCATCATTTCTGGGAGATGTTCTATACACCTGTTCTGTGTTCAAATAACACTGAATGTTAAAAAATAAATGCAAGTTTTGCTTTTTAACTTTTTTTGCTTTTAAACATTTCTCACATTTTGGGTGGTTTGTTTTTTTTTTTTTTTCCTAGTTCAGAATGAGCTGAAACACAGCAAATCCAGAGCAAACTTTTAAAGCAAAGAATAGTAATGGTGAAAAGATCACAGCTACAGGACAACGACTCCATATGGGATGCTCCATCAAGCCAAAGATGTAGCTTTGGTGGTTTTATGATGAGATTTTCAAGGGTTTGCTTTTTGTTACCTCAGAAATGAAAGGTAACCAGACTGGCAGGCACAGTTAGGGGAAGCGCTGTTTCCCTCAAGGACCTAAGGTGGTATAACCGGTGAAACGGCAGCCTCGAAGCTGGGAATAAGGAAAGGCCTTCGAGGAAAAGACTAGCCTGCTTCAAAAGTAAGCCTGACAGTGACTTTGCCGTCGGGCGGTGTTGCCAAAGTGGTACATACTGGACAAAACGGGGCCTGAAACTGAAGCCATCGACCCGGCTCTCAGCACTTACCATGACAGCTCCTGTGCCGGTGGGCCAGGTGACTGCCCCGGCCTGACACCCCTATGTGATGTGAACGGCAATGGGAAAGCTCCCCGACGGGAGGTGCGGGGCGGCCCGGCTCTACTCCGGTTCGGGAGCTCGCCCTCGCCAAACAGTGAGCGGTCCCGCTGCCAGTCCACGGGACGGCCGAGCCGGAACAGGCCCCGCCGCCAGCCCTGCCGCTGCCTGTGGTCCGGCCCGCACCGCCGGCCCTCACCTGTAGGAGCTGAGCAGGGTCTTGTTCACCAGCACGATGAAGAATGAGCACGTCCCGTAGAAAAGGGCTGAGAGCACCCTTGGAAGTGCCGACGGAGCGGCACAGCCCGCCGCCTCCCCCACGGCCTGCTCGGCGCTCATTGCTGCGAGGAGCAGCTGCGGGCAAGGCTTCACCGCGCACTGCACTACTGCGGCCGCCCGGACCACCGCCCCTCCTCTCGGGCCCGGCGTGGCCCGGCCCGGCCCGGCCCGGCCCTGAGCAGCGGGAACCGGCAGCGGCTGCAGGGCGCTCCCTGGCGGGGCGGAGCACTGTGGGGAGCCCTGGTGTGAGGCCCGCAGCCGCCCCACCCCTCTCTCTTCTCTCCGGCCCAGCCCCGAGAGCGCAGCCCGCCGGGGCTCTGCCGAGAGGGAGGGTACGAGGGGTATAACACCGAGCGCGAAGTGCTGCCGCCGGACGCCGCTGCACCAGGGGGGGCAGGTCCCCAGGTTCAGCCGCACCTGGGGTCATCGTCCGGCACCAGCTTGCCCAGCGTTTACCACCCTGATGGGAAAGGAGCTCGGCGCCTCTGGGCACTCGCCCTCAGGCAAGGAGGAAGCTCAAAGGACCCAGGACTGTAACCAAGCTCGGCCCCACACCGCTTCCCCCCTCACGGGTTTGTCGAAAAACAAACAAACAAATAAATAATAATAAAAAAAAAAACTTTCGTCACCAAAAAATGTGTTTTGGGCAGTTACCTTGTGTCAAATTTCAATGAAATGAACACCTCCATCCTCTGTGACAAGCCAGGCTGGCAGGCTTACAGGAACGAGGAAGCACCCGAGTATGTAGCAATTCCCAAACAGCACATACTAAACGTGAAAATCAAACCAAGCTTTTATTCAAAGCTTCTATTTAAATGACAGCACATCCACTCACCTGCTGTTAAGTCATGCCAAACTACAACTTAAATCTTTCAAAGCACTGAACAATTCAAGATTCCTTGCATGTAATCACTCCTTAACAAAACAAAAAGCGGTTTTCCACATTTGGTTTTTTTTTTATCTGATATTTTACCCAAAACTTGTCACAACACAAAACTGCTTCTGAATTTTCCTTACAGCCAAGTACAATTCAGTGCACTTGTCAGATCTTAAGAAATACTCTGCGAGTTGCCCAAAGCATTACAGCTGACTGGGAAAAAATAGTAATACTAAAGAAAAAATATTAAAAATCAATGCTACGAAGTTAAGACTCCAGTCTGCAACTGGCTGGTAATTACAGAGTCTTGTGCCCCGTGAAATTCTACATGAGATCAATTCTGAATTATGACTCAGAAGTGCAACAGATTTAGGTTCAGGTCTCATTTTGGGATCAGACTATTTGCATGCAGCCAACTAAGCATTCAAAAGCACGTAATTTGAGAGGCTCCAAACCTACACACGCAAACTACCAGTTTAATACATAGGCTGAGAAGCCTAGAATGACTACAATGTTTCACACCTTTAAGCCTGAAAGACTTTAAACAGAAACAAATGAGCCTGACATCTGGAATTGACACCTAGGAACTGAAAGCAAAAGTTAAACCGTATCAGTGGTGCAAAATTATTTACATTCAATGATTTAATTTCATTTTTAATTTTCAATTACTCTTTACTTAAGTGCATCAATACACGACTTAAAACCAAAACAAACTGGGTTAATGAGGTTTTCAACCACAACAGGTTATTAGAGAACGTGATCCAACAGTTGCAGTTTCTGGTGTAAAATCTCACGTTTCTGGAACAGCTGTATGCATCTGGTTAGTCTATATCAAATGATTGGTAAAATTGTTTCTTCCTCTTGTATAAGCAAGAGGGAAAGTGACTTCTCTTCTCATCTGAATTTCCTGACCTTCAACAAGAGGAAGGAATTAAAGCAAGCAGGTCAGTAAATACAACTTATTTTTTTATAACCCTTTATAGGGATATACAAAAATAGCCCCTTAAGCAGGAGCTTAAAGAAACAAGAATAGAACCAGAAAAACCACACAAAACCACAAAACAAAACGTCTGATCTGAAAACAGATTTTAAATGACTGTCACTAAAAAAAGTTTTGTTAGCATATTAGGAATCTCTGGTTGCCTTCAAAGCAAAATACAGAAAATGATCACCATGAGACAATCCTCTTCGAAAGCATACAACATTCAGGAAGTGACAAGATACCCTACTGAACATTTCTTATCAGCATCTGAGTACTAGGCAGCATTCTGCAACTTCATTTATTTGGGAAATATATGCAATCACACTGTTATCACACTTGTAACTATCTTCGGAAGTCTATTTCCTAGTTGTATAGTGAATAGTTTTCTGCAGTGTTTAATTGACAGCTGTGCTACAGTTAGTGAACACAAAACTGGCATGTTATCCTGAAGTAAAGCAATAAGGTGGCTTTATGCAAGGAAAGTACAGAGGCTATTTGCTAATAATCACATAAAAGCAATACTTTAGAACTTAGTGTTTGCTAATAGGACTCCTAAAATAGTTTACTACAAATCCATACCACCATGTAAATACCCCCTTTAGCAAATTCAAGTGCCAAATCACTACAGGGTCCAAAAATAGCTGAAAAAAAAAAAAATGTTGCCAATTCTTTACCTTTGTGTAGACTTTGCAAGCCTAATCATTTTCAGATAAACCCAACAATGTGCAAAAGTTCCTAACATCACGTTAGGATTAACAAGTGCTACCAAGAGATTCTGCTGAAATCAAATCAGAAAAGGTAAAACAGCAAAGTCAAGCCTCACACCTTGAGCAGTCACAGTGACGATCCTTAATGATCTTACAGTTTCCTGCATGAAGCAGTTTCTTCCCTTCTGAAAGCTGAGATAACCAAGCTTTTTGCCTTCGGCCTCAGTAATACTAGGTAAAGATGTACTCACACCAAAAAAATACGGTTTCATGGCTGCTTAACACCTTCAGACCTACCACTTAATATAAACTTGCTTAAATAGTCAGATAAATACTTTTCTTCTTTGTCAGGCTTCTTTGGCCACGTGTACCATTCTGCTAATCGCAAACACTTTGTTTAGAAAGTGCTTCCTGTGAAAACTGCTTCAAATAAATGAGTTAACCTTGCAAAATCTAGCTTCCCACAACACATACATTTGTCAACCCTGCATTATGCATTCCTGTATTTACAAAATACTTAGAAACTTTACAACTATCTTTTACCTTAAAAAAAGTGCAATTCTCTCACCCCATGTAATGGGGCAACAACATTCTTCATAAATTCTACAGAATAGCAGCCTATGAAAGCAAATAAGGTGCTTAGCTTATTTATACTCAGGATCTAACTGGTTAAATACCACCAGTAAGTACATTTTGTATAGGCAGACTGTTCCGATCTACTGTCACAGCGGTGCCACAGCTAGGTTTGCAAGCTCAATCAGAGCCAGTGCGCCATGCATGCGTTCACGCTGTTCCTGGAGGCGGCGGCAAGCAGCTGAATGAGCGCTGTTTTTCTCTTCTTCATCATCCTCTTCATCAGACTGAAGATATTCCATGGGGTCCTGCTGCTCCTGATCTGTTTTCTGTATTGTTTTACTTTTCAAAGCAGGAGCCCGCTGTTCTCTGGTCTCCCAGTATCTACAGAATTAAAGTTGGTAAACATTTTTAAAATACATGCAACTGACTTGCACGAACAGTCAAAGCTGGCAAAAACCTCCCACATGAGTACTAGTTTGCATCTGACTAAGCGCTGCATGTGGCTTTATCTTTCAGTCCTTATAGTTCAGCTGTCAGAAACCTCCTTTATTTACTATTTTAATTGTGAAGTGCCCAAGTGAACATATGTGACTGATTTCTTCTCTACATGGTGTTCCCAGCAGACATTTCTCCCTAGGCACAGAAAATTGTTACCCCTCATACAAATGAAAATTCAGCAAGACCCTAGCACTAAAAATAAGGTATTAGCAGGTGTCGATCAAACAAAGAAAAGTATTTTAAAAGAGAAAAAAAAGAAAAACAAATCAAAACACCCCCCCCGACATAAAACCCTGTCGCAACAACAAAAAAAACAAAAAAAAAACAAAAAAACCAACCAACCAACCCAAAACCAACCAAACCAACCAACCAACCACAAAAAAAAAAGATCCAAGTAAGTCTTATGAGGAACTTTGCCTAAACTTGTAGTTTGCTTCTTTAAGGAAATGCAAGGCCAGACTGATTTGTACTGCAGGAAAGACTGATTTGTACTGCAGGAACAGCTGCTTTTAGTTTGTTGGGTTTTTTTTACCCCAAGAATAAAATACTTTCCCAGACCACCCTTGTAAGTACTTAGAGAAAGATGACACAGTGAGGGAGGGAACTTACTTTGCTAGCCACTCAGCTACAGCTTTATTGTCAGCAGTCTCCTTCTTACTCAGCCTGTCTGTAAGCTCTTCCCTCTTCAGTCGGGCATACGGATGCTTGGGGCAGTGACGGTTTGCATGTGTGAATCTGCTTAAACATCCTTAAAAACCCCCACAAAGTGATAATGAAGAACATGTTACGGAAAGCCGCCAAACAACAAGTAAGTGTATTATCTGTGGGATGAAGGTGCTGCTGAATCCAGCTTTCCTCACTCATAAACCCTAGGCTTGGTTGAAAACACTAGCTGTGAGGTCAAAACTTGACACAGCATTTTATACATTAGTATCGAGTGACAGAATTACTGATAACCTAATTACATAATAAGATATGCAATCCTTTGGCTATGTATCTGCATGATTATGCAGATTTTTGTGTGGATCCTTTCTTCCCCTAAAGCTCCTCCAAAATTAAAATCCAAAGCTTTTCTGGATCTTTGCCACATTTTGTGCAGTACTGGACTGACCCTAGCCTGAAAGTTGCTAATCTTTCCCAATGGCTCACCATTCTCTGAGCAGACGAAAGGTTTCTCCCCTGTGTGGAGACGCTGGTGGGTTTTGAGCTGTCCACTCTGAACAAAGGCTTTCCCACAGTCTGGGTAGTCACACAAATAAGGCCTTTCACCTTAAAAATAACAAAAGGACAGAGTTATGAAAGCTGAATATAAAAAGAGGACTCATAGTATGTAGTGGTGGTGCCTGATTTAAGACTTAGACAAGCGAGCTCCCATTTCACCCACACAGACACCTGTACCTACTTAGAAAGCCCTGGTATACCAAACAGCAGAGGCACACTTTTACTGCACAGAAATCTTTACTTTGAAGTACATGCTCAATGCCACTGGATAATACAGCTATTTCCGGGGGGGGGGGAGGGGGACAGGGGAAGAGGAAGAGGTACACATATATTTTGCTTGTCCTATTTTCTGATTAAAGCCTCTTGCACAGAGAAACTTATTCCAGACTTAAGCCAAGAAAGTTTTCTTAGGGCAGTCATGAAAGAAGAATTCTCCATGCAAACTGCAACAAGAAGAACAGATGTAGCAGGCATCTCCTCCCTCAAGAGGATCTGACTGTGAGCAACTATGCCAGGGCATGCTGTGCCATCACCTCTCAGGAAGGGTGACCAAACGAGTGTGATGCTGACTTACTAAGTCTGAGGAATAACACCAGGGTATGCTCTGCTCAGTTAAGTAGTTCAGACAACACCTAATGCAACAAAGTGAAATAAAACCATCTTTTGACCAAAAAGCACAGGGAAACTGCTGTTCAATATCAGTATCTAGCTTAGTTTTAGTGACTTGAGTCAGAAAGAGACCATGTGAGCTAAGGGTTTTCTGAAGTCTTGTTTTGGGTGTTGTTTGCTGGTTTTTGTTTGTTTCTCATTTTGGGGAGGAGTGATGATGGTTGTGTCTGTATTGTGGGCTGCATTAGTTCACACGTTATTGCAAACAGAGTACTGGTGGAAGATGATAAAATATATGAGATATATGAAAGTATATGAAGAGGATAAAAAATATATTTACTTGGATTAAAAAAAAAAAGCATCTCCGGTGCAGTTCAAGCTCAGCTGGGTATTGAGTAGGTTGATGCTACATTTTAACTGTGAGTTGCCTCCTGCAAACAGCTCATTCATTGAATTTGCACTAGCACCTCCACTGCAGAAAGTGAATTCTAGGGAGACACAACTATTTTTGAGCATTTGAACTCTTTCCTCAACATTTAAGCTACACTTCTAGGGTGTTACACTGTCCCACAATAGTTACCAGCCCCCTTTTAAGTTACTATCTCCTCTGACAGCTAAACTTCCATATCTCTGTGAAAAACACACCAGCAAGAAGGAAACAAGTCACAGAGAAGAGGCAGTGAGAATAAAAGGTGCTACATATAGAGGACTGCACTTAAGAAAAGCCCTTCCTCTTACAAAGTAAGTTTATGACAGCGGCACATGAAATATTTACACAATTTGCCTATGCTTTCCCATGACAAATACTGTTACAAAGACATCGATTGCACTAACTAAGCATAGAAAAAAAGTATGATTCATTTAACTGTTTCAATAAAATATTAACAGGTTGAGTTTGTTGGGGATTTTCTGTGGTTTTTTGGTGGTTTTTCTCTTTTTTTTTAACTCCTTTCCTGCTGCTTCCTACGCGGCTCACACCTCTCTACTCACCGGTGTGCGTTCGTTTGTGGGCCTGCAGAGATTTCTCTCGTGGGAAAACCCTGTTGCAGATATTGCAGCGTATTCTGCTGGAAGAGTGCTCTCCTTCGCTAATCAGGTCGCGGACGGTGTCTGCTCTCGGACGGCCTCGCCTTAGCCCATCCTGCATTAACACAGCGAGGAGCTGACATCCCGCACGATCCCACCGCTGCGGTGTAACCAGAAATACCCAACTTTCCCTGAAGTGACTTTTGCGTCGCCTCTGTGTGACCGAGGGGCGGTGACGGCGTTAGCGGTTTACCGGTAACCACACCACAGCGAGACAAGCGCTTTCCTGACGGGCTCTTTACGGAGGTACGACCGGCAAGTGCCAGGGGGGTCGTCAGGCACCACCAGCACTCTTATGTGCACTCACAAAATGGGGGGAAAGTAACAAAACAGAAAACAACTTCTGTGTGCGGGCGAGGGCTTTTTATTTCCTCTCTCTTCCCTAGTGCATAACGCCAGGGGAGTGTCAGGCACCCACTCCCCGGCTCCCAGCACCTCCCTCTTCCTTAACCCCCCCCCCCCCCCCCAGCGGCACCGGGACGCACGCGCCGCTGCCGGATATGACTTCACTTTAAATCTCCGGGAGGAGGCGGGGGAAGGGCGCGCAGTCACCCTTTAACTCCGCCGCCGCCGCCCGCTGCGCCCCGGGCCCACACTCACTCACCTTCAGGTGCCGGTGCCTGCCGCCTCCGTCGCCCGGGCTCCCGGCTCGCTCGGCGTCCCCGGTGACCGCCCTGCCCGCTCCCCCAAGGGGCGGTGGGAGTGCTGGGGGCGCGGCGGCGGCGCCAGGGCTGAGGGTCACGTTGTGGGCATTCTCTCCCCAGCGCCAGGGGTAGACCATAAAGTCGCTGAAGCCGGGGCTGTTGGGGACGGGCGGGGCGGGCGCCGGCTCCTCGCCGGCTGCCGGTGAGGATGGTTTGATCGGGGTCGTTTTGATAACGGAAACCAGGACGCGCTTCGGGGAGTCCTGGCAAAAAATCACCGGGGGACCAGGTGGCAGCCGCTCCGCCATCGCCGACCCCTCGCGGGCACTGGCGCCGGGAACGGGGTGAGGGAGCGGTGTCTCAGCCTCGCTGGCCGACTCCGCGTCCCGGGATGGGGAAGGAGGTGTGGAGCGGCACGGAGGTCCAGCGGCCACCGCTCGGGCCCACCTCAGCCGCTCATCGCCGGGGACGGCAGCTCCCGGCGGGTTTTCGGTGCCTTCCTCCCCTCCGCGGCCACCCCCGATCGGATCCGCAAACTCAGCGGCAGCCCCAGGCCATAGCAGTGGCCGGACTGAAGCAGCCACAGTCTCCTCGCACCTTTCCGAAACGGCGCCGACTCCGCTGGCAGTCCCGGTCCCGGCGATGCCCGAGGAAGAGCCGCCGCCACCCCTGCGCGCCCACACCCTAGGCTGAGCCCCAGGTTTTCCCGCGTTACGTTTCGCGCCTGAGCGTAACCAATCACCCACCCCGGCGCCAACGTCACGGACCGGCGGTTCCCGCCGACCAACCGCTAGGAGGGGAAGTCGGCGGCCACGCCCCCCGGGGCGGTGTTCGAGCGGGACGCAAGCTCTCTTCTGCCGCCTTATTGGGCGGGCTCCCGGCTCACCGGCGGAGTTCGAAACTGAGCCCCGCCCGCCCCGCCGCCGCCGCTGCTGCTGCCCGCCCCTGGGGAGGTGCTGACTGGCCCTCCATGGGGGCTGACGCGCCCTGGCAGGTTTCGCGCGCCCTGGCGGCGGCCGCGAAGTTTAAAGGGGCCGCCTCCCGAGGCAGCGCCCTGGCAGGGCCGGGTTTGCTTTTCTCCGCCCTTCCCCTGCAGCGGCTCTGTCCGCAGCTTTGGTAGCGCGGTTGCCGGCAGGGAGGGTTTCCCAAGTGAGGAGGTGGCAGCGGCGCTTGTACCGCTGGAGGGCGCTGTGGTGCGGCCGTTATGGCTTTTGCGAAGAGTTGGAGGGGAGCGCCCCTGCGCCCCGCAGCCGTTCTTTGCCGCAGGCCGGGCTGCCGGGGGCCGGCCTGTCCAGCTGGGCACGGCCAGTGAACCTGTGGGGCAACAGGCACCGTCCCTAAGGCTGAAAGAAGCGGGAAGTGGCTGTGCCAAGCGGCTGCCAGGGCTGGCCCGGGTCGGCAGGCCACCATGGGCCGCGGCTCGGGAATTTTAGGAGTCTCCTCAGGCATGAGATAGTAAAAGTTTGTGCCGGTTACCAATTCCAGTGTATTACTGTTTGAGGGGTGCTGGTGTGTGGGTTGTTTTGTTGGTGTTTTTGTTTGTTTGTTGTTTTGCTTGTTTGTTTCCCAGTCTAATGTAGTTGCTCAGGTACTTGCACTGCAATTACCAAAACGGTATCTTAACCACTTAGATTTCCAGCCTGCATCCTTAGAAACGGAGACCCAGGCCAGTTCTGCAACCCGCTAGCACAAACTGTGCATACAGGGCGGCTGCCGGTCCGTGGCCACGGGAGATGGGGGGCTGGGGTGGGGGTGGTGGTAGAGCCGGCGCTAAGTCATCTGTGTGGGTAAGAGGTGCCTGGCTCATGCGAGACAGGTGTGGTGGTAGCAAGGAATGGTTTGAGAATATGGTGGCATACACCGACTTGGCTTTGGCTGGTAGAAACACTAAAAAGAACACCCTTCATAAATTTCCAAAACTAGATGACTCACGCTTCGAGCAGTACATGTAGCTGCAGAGGAACTCCAGTTACGGCGGGAACTAATGCTACGATTCGGCATGTAAAATTGCATATACTGTGAGCAGTGCAATGCATTGCAAGTCCAAACCAGAATGGTTTGGATTGGAGGGGACCTCTAGTGTTTTAAACCCAGGTGGTAACTCGGCACCACTCAGCTGCTCACTCACTCCCACCCCTTCCACCTTCCTTGGGTGGGATGGGGAGAGAATAGAAGAACGTAAAACTCACGGGCTGAAATGAGAACTCAGTAATAATTTAATAATTAGAATAAAGTGAAATATATTTTAATAACTAAAGTGAAATATAGTGATAATAGAATATCAACAATACCAATACTGATAACAATACGAAACAACAAGAGAAGAAATTAAAGCTCAGAAAACAGCAGTGATGCACAATACAGCTGCTCACCACCTTCTGACCAATGCCCAGCCCAAGCAGCGATCAATTCCTTCTGGGTAATTTCCCCCAGTTTAGGTACTGGGCATTATGTGCTGTGATATGGAATACCCCTTTGGCTGGTTAGGGTTAGGTGTCCTATCTGTGCTTCCTTCTGGCTTCTTGTGTCCCTCCTGACTGGCAGAGCATGAGACTGAAAAGTCCTTGATCAGTGCTATTTTCAGCTATCTCTCAGAGAAGTTACATATATATATAGTTTATAGACTCATAGAATACTTAGGATTGGAAAGGACCTTAAGATCATTAAGTCCCAACCCCCCTGCTGTGGGCAGGGACACCTTGCATTAAACCATGTCACCCAAGGCTCTGTTCACTCTGGCCTTGAACACCCCAGGGATGGAGCATTCACAGCTTCCTTGGGCAACCCATTCCAGCGCCTCACCACCCTCACAGTAAAGAACTTCTTCCTTATATCTAACCTAAACTTCCCCTGTTTAAGTTTTAACCCTTTACCCCTTGTCCTACCACTATAGCCCCTAATGAAGAGTCCCTTATTATTTTTCTCTTTTGAAACATGGTGAAAACAAAGCCAGATTCCACAAAACACCATACCTCTAGTCTTGCTGCTGGAGTATTTCTGAATTCCTATCCAAAGATGACCTTCAAAACAGCTGTTGAAGCTGCAAGCACATTGTCTGTCAATAAAAACACCCTTTTGTATGCCGTTTTTCATATATAGTATAAATTCAGGAGGCTTTGATTTTGAAACCTTGAAAATAAGGTTTCAAAAATTTCTAAAAAGCTTTCTGGGTGAAGTGTTTGCTGAGGAACTCTAGTGTGGATGCTGTGATTGATACCAAAAGGCTGCACAAAGGCCTGCGAAAGATTTGGTTGTTTTGTTATGTGTTGTGGTAAGGTGGTGGTATTAATATATTTCCACTGAATAAAACAGGATAAAGCAATTTTCCAATTACTTCTTTTCACTGAAAATGCATGTAGTTTCATCTTGCTAAAAAATAAAGCAACTATTCAGAGGCAAGTACAGTTGATCTGGATAAACATTTCTTTTACAGTATTTTATTGTTGTGTCATATTCATAGAAGTACCTTCAGAAATTCTTAATTTGTTGTTAATTATGGCTAGCTATTTTTTACAATTTAAAAACTGTGCAGAATTAATAATATATTCTCTTTGAAGAGTTAGAATTTCCTTAGTCTATCTGAAGCATGTCAGAGCCTAAGAGCTCCGACTTGACCATCAGGATTTTGTAAAGGTGTTTGTGAGCAGAAAATAGCCCTAACTTAGTTGCTGTCATTATTTCCATTGATAGAATCATAGAACAGTTTGGACTGGAAAAGACCTTAAAGACCATCTAGTTCCAACCCCCCTGCCATCGTTGTGATTTCACAAATGAGGATGAGGCTGTAAGAGGGCACAGTATAATGAAATCATTTTTATTCTTTAGCAAGCAAGCCCTGCATACGTGGGTCTATGTGAAGGCTAGGGGAGATAGAGTGATTATGTTCGAGGCTCGGAATAACAGGTGGTGGATGTGCTGTGTATTTTGACCTGTCTGCACTCCAAGACAGAGGGAGGTGGTTGTTATGCTGCCAGTGCTATCTCTAATCCCGCTTTATGAAGCACAGCGCAGTCTGATTTACTTTCAAGGACTTGTGCTAAGGATAATATTAATTTCGAGGCAAGGTAGGATACACAGTGATCGTAATAGAGGAACTGCTAAATTTCCTATGAATGACGAGGATAAAAACACAGTCTAACCACAGAAATAACACAGCTTAACCACAGAAATGTCGTCTGCAGTTGGCATTCTTTAGGTGAATGTGTCTGAAAGGCTGAGATTTTTACACCATGTGTTTGGGGTTGCTGTAGCTGATGGAGGCAGCAGGGGTGGTTTGCCTGCACAATTGCCTCTCCACTGAACACTGTGCATGAACCTTGTTGAGTCTCCAGGAGTGTTTGTGCTGTTGGTTTTCAGAGTTGGGAAAAGGATTTGCAGCTCACTCCAGGCATTGCTGGTACTGACCCACATGGCTCCTAGTCATAGGGTGTCTGCATGTACACTCTCGCATCATACGAGGCTTACTGATGGCCTGGGGGCTCTGCTGGTTTTGCTGAACAGAGCAGCTTTCCGTGTTAGACTCTAGAACCTGTATGTCTCACCCTTGTGCTGCATTTGTAAACTGTTATGCCGGCAGGCGTCCACCAATTTAAGAAACCAACACCACCGCAGTTTTAAGCGGAAAGAGGCAATTAAAACACTTCGAGAGAATACCAGGTGAAATTGTGAAAGCGTGCTGGGTGCTTGAAGCAGAGTTGCACAGAGAGCTCCCAGTGCAGCGTTTCATTAAAGTCAGCCGTTAGTGGATGTGGATTGTATCAGAAGACCCTTGAGACAGTTATGCGAAGACATTACATTCCAGACTCTTACTGAAGAGCCTGCCCAGGCATGCACTCACGGAGGCTCTTTGCCACCCCCTTACCAGCGACGGGCAGCGCGCGAAAGCAGCTTGAGCAATGCCACGGCTCATGCATAACTGCTGCTGCCGGGCTCCTTGAGCAGCACACCCAATTGGTCAGTGCGCCATTACTGACGGTGCAGGCGCCGCACGCTGATTTGCCGTAGCAGCACATCAGGGGCGAGGCGAAGCCTAAAGGCGGTATTGCGGATTGGTCGCTCGCTCTTGCCGTTATTTCGCGCTATTGGTTGAGCGTGTCGCTGTGGGTGGGCCCGGCGCCGCCGATAGGTGGCGGTTGCGGCTCCTCTCGCAGCTGCGGAGTTTCATTGGTTTCGCGGCTCGGTGAAGGGCGGGGCGCCGGCACCGGTGTTGGCAATGGAGCGTTGGCCCGGGTAGTGCTGAGCCGATGCCGGGTTCGGCGCGGTAGTTTTCGGCGTGTCACCTCAGCTGCAGCCCCGGAGCGGATCCGCGGGTAGGGAAGGGGATAGGGTCACTTGTCCGGAACGATGATGCAGGGGACGGTGGACAGTCTGGTGGCTGCCTTGATGCAGGAGAGCTTTGGCTGCTCCATCGCCAACCGCTTCTACCAGCTCCTGGACGACGAGTCAGACCCCTTCGACATCCTGAGCGAGGCCGAGCGCCGCCAGCAGCAACGCAAGAAGCAGCAAGAAGAGGCGGCGGCGGCAGCCGCCAGGACAGCCGGTCCCGGCGGCAGGGCGGGCGGCGGCAAGAGGGAGTCCCAGAAGCAGCGCAAGCAGCCCGGGAGTCCCCCTGTGCCCTGGGGGCCGCTGGAAACCGGTACGGCGGCGGGGCGGGGGATGTGGGG